TTGTCGGTGCCTCGTTGCAGCGGCGGCGGCGCACACACACGTATCGGCGCCGATATATGCACCCTCGAGTGCCGGGATTGCGATGAACATACACCCCTCCCTGGACTGGGCTGAGCTGGACTGGACTGGACTGGACTGGTGATCAGACGGAGAGCTCGGAGAAGAGGCATGCAACCGTGACAGCCATTGGGAAAGAAGGGGGCGCCCGCAGTGGCGTATTCTTGTGGCAGCACGGGCTATAGGACGCCGGGAGTTGCATCGTGTCGAGCCTCTTTGCTGTTTCCTTCGTATGTTGTCACGCACAAGTACGTAGTGGAGTCTGGTGAGAATCGTCGGGGGTCCGCAATAGATGCATACAGGCGTGCACGGAAGCTGTCAACAACAATGCAATAACAGTTTGGCACATGCACAGGCCGTCATTTGATAATTGCCATGTGGATGCGCGGCAGACTGAACGGGTAGGGTCACAACAGGCCTGATATGGCGACCGTCTATCCTGCCCTTGTCGCGCTGGCCCTATTTCCATACGTGATTCATATGTTTGTGGCCACGGGCTCGGGTGTGTCTCTGATGCGGATGACGAGTGGCTATGCAACTCTGGTCCGTCCCGTCTTTTTCTTGTCATCCCATGTCATGTCATCACTATATCTTGGTGATACTGGCTGCTGTGGAAGTGTTTTCATGCCAGATGGATGGGTGACGAGCACGACTTCGTCTCTTTCCAAGAGGCGCTTGCAACCCAGGACATTCTGCTTCTGCTTCGTGTGATGTGACATTTTGTTGCATTAGGTATGTATCAGGAAATTGAGAGACTCGTCCTGTATGTCGTTCGTTTATCCTACCATACAGTTTGCGGAGGAATCGGCGTGGAGCCTTAACCTCGAGGTGTTATTACAGTCGTCGAGCCGATGAACGGGGGCAGCTTCCGGTTAAGTGCGACCCTGGGCTCTTACGTGCTGCTCTATGTGGTAAGCAGCATCTGCACTTGGGGATACGCCCGAGATGACAGGAGGGAAGTGGCTCTTGCTGATAAGTCTCAGCTACTGGAATATCAGAGAGGATCGAGCGGGCCGCTCGTGCGAATTCAGGCCCTGTCGGGCTGCGTGCGACCTTCCAACCATGGCGGCGACGTTGGACAGGTTGAGAGAGCAAACGTGTGCGCTAAGACACAAGAGGCCGAAGGAGTGCGGACCGAGGCAAGCTTGTCGCCAGGAGGGCTGGTCCTTTTCTGGTGGACGTGCGACGAGGGCTGGATGTTGCGAGATCAGCTCAGGGGCCCCACTCTCTTTCTGCCTCTCGGACGCAAGGCAGGTTTGGCCAGCCCTAAGCTGCAAACAGGCAGACAGGGTCGCAAGTGTCAAGGTGGTGGAAACCTTGTCTGGGCCAATCGAGAGCGGACGTTTGAGGTGCCGCTGGTGTGTCAAAAACCTTCTCCGCGCCGTGAGAATGGATGGACGTGGGCTTCCTTTTGCCAGCGCATGATGCGTCGACAGATTAGCAGATTAGGTGGACGAACTGGTGCAGGTGCCGGGACGGACCTTGCTGGAGGGTTTTGTACTGGGCGGGCTGGCGCTGTGCTTCCGAACCGAGAGGCAGGGCGCTCCCAGGCTGGCTGGAGGCGGCGCAGAGGAGATTGATTAGCAGCAGAGGTGCAGATTGTCGAATGCAGGGCGGTGATTAGCATCTGGTGTTTCTGCAAATTGATAGGTCTCAGCCAGGCGGCGCTATTGTTGTTTCGATGCAAGTCAGATCGGTCAGTCTCCTTGTCCTGATTCCTGGATTTCCTGCCTCTCGACTCTCGGACTTGCAGCTCCTGACACTCGGCTGGTGAGCGAGGCCCACTCAATGACGCGCGAGTGAGCTATGGATTACTGGGCGCTAGGTGCTGCAGGTGTTCGCGGTGCGGGTTTAGTGCGTGCAGATGGAGAAGCAGAAGCAGGTTGGAGGGGCAAATGGAGAGGCAGGTCGGCTACCGGATGTCTCTCGTGGAGCGAACGGTGGCTTGTGTGCTTGGCTTTGCTCGTCGGTCCTGGATCCTGATACTGATAGCAGCTGTTGGCTGTTGGCTGTTGGACATCTGGGCTATGGGCTCTGGTTTCTGGGCTCTTGGCGCGCTGTCTCGTCACTCGTGGATGTCCTGGCCCCAGCATGAGATTATCCCCAATAAGACACGCCAGCTATAGTTGCTTAGCCTCGGAAATACCGGCCAACTGGCGCGAAGAGGTGTGGCCTGGGATCAATTTGCCCGATGCCATGTGCAGACAATAATGATGGCCGAGGTGGTTGGATCATTATGCGAAACAAAAAAAGGAAAATAAGGGCTGGTTGCTTCTTCATTGTAGTGGACCTGGGCTTTGATGATGAGGCTGAGACGAAGATCGAAGTAGCCGTGCGTAGATATCGACTGACTGGCTGGCTGGCTGTTGCATACCGTAAACCGTACTGTAATGTGCTCTACCGTGACGTGCTGTATCGTACTTTGAGTGGGTTTTGTCCCCTGGTGCCTTCCTGTCCTGTTACGTCCTGTCAGTCCTAGAACCATGGCAGGACCGGCAGAGAGGCAGGCACGTAGGCTCTCAATCAGGTACTGTACTCAGGTACTCAGGTACCCAGACACCCAGGCAAGAGAGAGAAAACGAGAGAAAGGCACCAAGCAAGGTATGGCAAATGCAAATGCAAATCCGGGGGGATCTGGGAGAACAGGCAAGTCCCTGCCCCTCTGGGGATGGGACTGTTTCCAAGGTTGTTGACTTGCCCCGACAATTGTATATTGCGGGTCCCGCTGGTCTTGCTCCTGCCAGTGCCAGTTGGACCAAGGCCAGTGCTCCTGCTCCAATGTACTTTTTGCGCGCGGTGGGGCGACGCGCGAGGTCAGATCAAGTCTCGTGGTGCAGGGGAATACCTCAACGTTGGCTGGTGCCCCTTGCCGCTGCGAGGTCACTGTCTCCAGTTGGTGACATGGTCCTATCCTGGTCGCCCTGTGCCGCTGTCCATCGGCTCCACTCTCGCCTCCTTCAACAAGCAGACAGACAGACAAGAAACATTGACACACAGACCAGACGGGACGTGACAGACAGGGCAAGCAGAGAGGAGAGGAGAGGGAATTAAAGTAGAGTGGCAGGCCAGGCCAGGCCAGGCCAGAGCGGAAGGGCTGCCCAAAGCAGAGCAGCTCCCAACCTTCCCAGGCGGACAGGCGAACAGGATAAACTCCAGGGAACCTGGGCAGGGAACCTGGAAAAGCATTGGCAAGCATCGCACCTGCATATGTCCCCGGTCCCCTGTAATAATAATCATAATCGCTGCGTGCTCTCAAACTGCATGTTGTTGATGCTGCCGCTGCTGGAGCTGGCCCCTCGCCCTCGAGTCCATTGGCGCCCACGGTGTATTATCTGGGCACTTTCTAAGACGGGCTAGCCTGTATGACGGGCTGCAGCTGAGAGGATCCATTGCTGGCTGCTGCTGTCCACTGTCCCCATTGATTGACCAAGGAACGCGGGAAACTCGATCGATTCCAAACAAAAAAAAATAATACACATCCAAGACCGCACAACTAGCAAACTCAGCCTGTGCAAGCCCAATCCAGTCCTGTCAAGTTGTCTGCCTCTTCTTCTGACCAGCTAGCCACCTAGCTGACCTCGACCTCGACCTGACGACTCGACGACTCGGCTCAACTCGACTCGACTCGACTCGAGGAGGCGGCGGACGACTCCTGCTCTAGCAGCTTGCCCCCACCGTCACGACATCGCTCGCCCTCTCCCTTTCCCGCTCTCCCAACACGCCCAGACACCCACACACACATAACAAACAGGTGGGACCAATCCCCGTGTGCGGCAACAACAACACGAAACTACTACAACAAACACCAACAACACAGCAAAGATCAACTCAACACCAGGCAAAACTCGCATCTGGATTCTCTCATCTCATCTCACTCACCCCAATCATCCCATCCCATCCAGGTGCTTTCTTTCAGCTGGGAGCAAGTAGGATCTGGATGTTGGTCCACTATTGCCAGTAACCTTGCCCGTTCCCTGCCTCGCCTTGCCTGCGCCGTATTTACACCACTCCTCGCTCGGCTCTGCTGTACATAGACCACCGAGTACATAGTCCCGTGCTACCTCTGCCCCAGGTGTACCTCTCTCCATCTGTACGTACCTCTGTATCTCAACTCTACCTCGTCCTCTGCCTCGTCCTCTGCCCACTGCGCGGTACGGGGTACATACACACCTAGTCCTGTGTAACTCCCTCTCCCTCTCTCTATATCCCAGGTTGGTGGTTCCTTATCCTCGCCCAATCCCTCCCCGCTGCCCGCCTACTCCTCCTTCCTCACGTTGGGTCTGCTTCTGTCCTGTCTCACGACATCACCCTCCACACACACCTTCACTTTCTTCTAACCTTCGCACACTCACTCTTTTCTCTTCTCGTGTGTCTCTTTTGTATTTCTTTCCCAATTTGGGTCCTGTGCAGCTGTCACGAAGGTGTCAGAGCGTTTTCCTGGCAATCCCCTCCCCCCCTTTGGTACCTCCTGGCGCTGCGCATTAACTCGCCATCTACACATTACCCACGTCCACAGACCCTCCCAGCCAGTAAGGTGCCTTTCCCACATGTGCATCCCTATGCCAGCTGCTGTTCCCCATCATCGTACATTACACTGCATTGCTTGCATTGTTTTTCGTCTCGCCCTCCTTCTGCTGTGGACCAACTGCAGCCGCTGACACAGCCAATCTTCAGACAGCCTGCCATTCAGGACAACAGCATTAATTGACCGCAGACCACCTTTCTGCCCCAACTCCAGCACCCGTCACCACCCACTCGCCCTTCGAACTCGTCTTCGACTTGGAACCTGCAAATCCTACCACTGCCTGGGCCTTGCATCGACTGCTTCGATCCCAAATAATGCAATGACGATGCGAATCACGATCGAAACGAACCCCCGATCCCCTTCGTCCCCACCCCTTTCTTACGGCTGCGGCTCGTTCACATAATTGTCAGCGGCCACAATGCAGACAGTCCCAAGTGTAAGTGTTCACTCATACCTGGTGTGTGTCGGGCTCGGCCCTCCGTCCAAAAGGCACAGACGTGGGGATATGCTTGGACAAGCCGAAGGCCAGGACAAGTGCTGCTCGCCGCAAAATGCAGCTTACAACCTTTCCGCCCAAATCTTGTATAAGTGATGTGTCGTGCTATTTATACTTTGACCGGTCAATCTGTAAACTATGAATGATTACTGACTGGCCGACCTTTGTTGCAACAGCTTGTTGGGACCGGCACCGTCGCTGCCGCTGCCGCTGCCGGCCTGGTCTTCGGCCAGCCCACCGAGTCACCCACGCCCTCGTCCCCCCGACCATCCTCACCTCTGAAGAGGAAGTTGTTCTCCGACTTCAGCTTCGACAACCCGCGATCGACACCCACCCCCCCACCTCTCTCGCCACCAGGGACCAGCTCCGCCCGCTATCCCCAGCTTCTCGAAGAGGGCCCGAACGACCAGCAGCATCCTTCACCACTGACATCGAACCCGGTCAGCGCCGGTCCAACCCAGACCACCCCTCCCAAGTCCAACAGCCGCCGCTATTCCACCATACGTGCAAGCGAGGTGGCAGGCACTTCCGAAACTTCGCGGGAATCTGGTTCGTCGCACGGCACATGGAGGAGGAGATTGTCTTTACGGCCCCAGTCGCAACACGGCAGTTTACGTTCCAGTGTTGAGCCAGACTCGAGCTTTTCCTACTCGCAAGGGTCAGGAGCGTCCATACTATCTCCCACAGGCTCTGTTGCCCCCCAATTTCCACCTCCCAACAAGTTGGTAAAACGGCCAGGAACAGAAAGCATCTTTGCTAGACGTGGCTCCCGAATACAGGTACCGACTCTAAGACGACCTGCAACAAGCCATCAACGGTCCGCAACGATCCAACAATCCCCATTCTCCCCCGCACTGGAAGTTCCGACAGATGGAGTGCCGCCTAGCCAGCCGTTGCGGCCTCGAGCCTCGACAACAGGGCGACCGAACAATGTGCCATGGAGGTTGCAAGAGGCTTCCAGCTGGACGTCATACTTCCACGCCCGGAGGGTGAGGATTTCCAGACGGAAAACCGTCGTTACACCCAGCGTCGAGAGTAGCAGCCCGGTGGAGTTCCAACTACCAGGTACAAGGATTCACATGCGCCGCGGCAGCTTGTTGGCTGCGCCCTATCTTGTGAACCCCCTGGTGATTTCTGGCGACTCTTACATGATGGCACCGGTAGAACGTGAGCTAGATTCGGCTCTGCCGGCGGAAGATTCAGATCAATCGCGGCAGAGCCCGCAGGAATCGAAAAAGTCGTCGGACCGACTGGAAAGGACACCAACCAAGGCAAGTCGGCGATCTCTTTCGGCGCAATTCGGTGCGTCTGGGGGCTGGATTGCAAGAGCGGGCAGCCTACGCCGTCCCAAGAGGAATTCTGTCGAGCACGCCGGAGGTAGGCGTTATGCATCGGATCCATCCTCCACTTCACCCAAGGCTACTCGGTCAAACGCAGCAAAGTCCGATATAGAGGCGCTCTTTACGCCCCCGTTGTCTGGACACAAAGAAACCAAAAACGCGGTCAATTGGGTATCACAGGAACAGAGGCGTGATGCCTCAGCACCTATTCCTCCCCTATCACGGCTGTCAAGTTTCCATCTTGACTTGTCTAAAGTGGGTCCATCTCCTCCACACTCTGCCGGGACTCAGGCACCGAGCCCCATCCAGGTCAGCCCGACAACTGCGCCTCAAGGGTCGGCGTTCACGTCTCACAGCAGAGCGGTCTCGAAGGAGGGCGCATCCACTTTGGCCGGATCTGAGATGTCGGTGCCTGGCTTGGCCTCAGGGGACGACGACGACACAGATTATAAGAGTGACGCGGTTTTCGATTCCTTCAGGACGCATGATTCGAACCATGTCAGAGTAGTCGAGACCCCTCTGGATTCGATGTTTGACGAGTCACCTCTTGGGACATTGGCCAATGTTCAGGCGAAGAGGCTGTCCATACAAGAGATACTAGGACACAACTGGGACGGAGACACCAGGATTATGGAGGAGGACGAAGGGTCTTCGACTCCTATCCGTGGAATTCACGGCCCACACATCGCTGGTAATGGCACCGATGCCGATGACCGAGCCACTGAAATCGCGAAATTCCAGATCTCAATCGGCAATAACGCCCGAAATTTTGGCAGGCTTTCGTTGGATACCACCGATGACGACTATGACTGGGCTAGAGACGACGAGGACATTCTGAGCAATCCACTTTCGCCGCCGACGAGCTCTGTCAACTCGCGAAGAGGCGTCAGTCCCCAACTGCGATCAGCATTGGCCAACATCAGCGGCAATGTCACCCCTAACTCCTACACGACCGGGGCCTCGACCGAGCGTCCCAGAAGCAATGTATTCGATTGGAGCGAAACATCCCATGAGAAGGCCGATGACAGCTTTGCTCGTCCGAGGACAGTTCACGGCAAACGGGAGCTAGATCTGCGGGGAGGACGAACGGTGATTCGACCAACGGCCCACGTCCGCAGTCAGAGTGTGCCTGTTGTTGAACCGGTGGACGCTGTCAAGGGTGCACCGAAGTTCGGTACATGGGGCCTTAGTGCAAAGAATGCTAGCGAAGACTGGGATGACGACTTTGAGTTCGACGAGGCCAGCAACAGCGGCTCCGGCCCCAAGAATCCTGCAACAACACTCTCCATGAGTGTTCCTCCCTCGATACAGACAGCACAGGCAACCGTCAAGGCACATTCGGGCCACATTCGAGAGCTGTCTCTGCTTGTCGACAGCCTCAAGCGCCTCTGTAGGCAAGGTCGGGAGCTGCACCTGCTGGATGGACAGAGTGCCTTGTTGTGGAAGGAAGCAGAAAACATCATTGCTCTGGCATCGCCGGACGACGATGAAGTGGACGAGAACAATACCGACCGAGACTCCTCTGATTCCGAATCTTTGGCTACTGATGATCGGTTCCTGGACGGTGGGTTTGACGCTGCCTCGTTGGACCGGGCCGAGGCCCCTGTTGGTGGTGCCCCAGAACCCGAAATATCCAAGAATGCTGTGGTACGGGAAAGGCAGATTGTACGTCGTCGCTCCGTGTTCTCCCCAGACGACGACATTTTCGGAAACAATTGGTCTTTGGAGAAGGAGAGCACCAGGCCACACACTCCCAGAACCCCAGACCGTGTGAGGGAATTTCACACGCCGGACGGGGCAGTCGTTTCGTCTGTCATCGCAGCCATGGAGCAACAGCGAAGCCTACCCGGTCGCCGTCAGGAGTCACCTTTGAAGCCGTCCAAGGCGAAGCTCTTTTTCGACACGAACAGCCTTCATGAGCTTGTCAGGCGCGCCAGCAGCGTTTTCCACACATTGTCCGACATTGTCCGCAAAGAAGAGCTTCTCTCGATGAGCCCCCAAGCAACACCAACGAAGCTTGATCGCATCCGGCCCGGCCACGGTGGCAGCCCGGCCTTTACGCGTGTCTTCACGGACCCCGACACGAGTCCACCACGACACCTGGTTAGGAGCCAGAAGAGCCACTCACCACTGCCCCGCAACTCCCTAGACTCCGGTCTGAATCAGCGCATGCAGATGATGACCGTCAGCTAGACGAGCACATCGCCGCCACACGAAGCCACCGCGCTTATATAATGTTTGATAACACGCCGCACGAGCAACACCCGCTCAGCACACCATCGGTATCGGTAACGGCGACCGCACCAACTGTACATGTACGAATACTTAAAAGCTAAATCATTTTCGCCTGTCGTCTTTGTTTTTTCTTTACCCTCTGGTTCATTTGCATAGCAGCCTGGAATCGGAAAAGCCCTGGCCTGGCGGTCTGGTACACAGCAAAAAAGAGCCCTTTATTTTGCATCATGGCAACTGCAGCAGATCTGCTTTCTCGGAAAGGAAAGAGAAGTAAAGCACGTGGTAATACCGGCAAGTCAGAGAGAGAGGAATTGTTTCTTTTTACACCTGTCTACAAATTTCTCCCCAGTTTGGTCGCCTCTCGTCGAGGCAGGCCTGGCATCAGGGATCTGGACGGCACTGCCCGTCACTGGAAGTGGGAGAGGATGATGGCAGGGAGGGGACAGATATGGAAAGGGCCCAAAATGGCACAATTGAGGAATGGACCGGATTTTGTTTGGGCAAAGGACACGGAAAGGGATTGGTCAGGGTCAGGTTAGGTCAGGTCAGGCAAGGTGTTTTGGTTTTTCCCCACCAGCAATCGGAAGCATCTTGGCCGATGTTGTGCATGGAGCTCTGTCATGGCTTTTGTATGGTTGACTGCCCTTTTTTTTTCTCGTTCAGTACTCATAGTCATGCCGTCCTCCCTCCTTCGAGGCGATGGACGCAGCCTGCCACCGACCTCAGCGTCAACGGGGCGTGTATGGGAATAGAAAGACTATTGATGACTGCGCGAGACACTGCTGTTCCAAGACTACTAGCATTTCTTTGCAATTGTGACAGTGACTGTTGTGATTTGACAGAAGGATCGGTCGATGGTGGAATAGCAATATCGATAGCCTGATCTTGATGACTACAGAGTACATGTGATTGCACACGCTGGCTGGCGGGCGCATCGCGTGGCGCAAAGTAGGGGGTCGGAGGTGGCTTGTGGTGGCTGCCTTTTGCTTCCTCCTCCTCCTCCTCCGCCTGCGAGCCGGGCAGACGATCTGCGCTGCGCAGGTGGCACAGATCTGGCCGCTCTGCACAGCTCAGGGTTCCGCCAATGGGTTTTCCTTGGCCATGAGCAAGCAACCTTCTTCCTATTTTTGGCTCAGTCTGAAAGGAGGCGGGTTTGGATTCGGTTGGACGCGCTTGTCTGCTGCGGACTGACCTGCCTACGCGCGTTGTTGTTTACCTTGCGCCGAGGGGGCGTGTATGCTTGCTTACAGCCGCGCGCTAATCCTGCCGTGCGACTTTGGCTGCGTCTGAGGGGGGAGAACTCTCCTTTTTATTTTTTTATTTTTACGCGCTTGGGACGGCTGCGTCTGCGGCTGCGTCTTGCATTTCGTATCTGCGTCTGCATCTGCATTCGCGCCTGTCTCGGTTGATTTTATAGTCATGTGGGCTTATGATACGGTAGAATGCTCTTGGGTGGTGAGTTTGAGAGTGAGACACGAGACAAGGAGTAGACTATTTTTTATGCGGCCTTGTGTACGTACGTACATGGACGGACAGGTACATGCGATGGTGCGCGTTTGTTGAAACGGGACTTAGAGGGGATGTATATGCAGAAGAATATGGATGTTGTGGTTTGATCATGTTTTACAGGCTGCTGGGGAGGTTATAATTCTGTTTTTCATATGATAATTGGGAAGAGGATGCATATATGCCGCGGTTATGGAATGCAGGTTTCAGATGATAAGAAGAGAGAAAAGGGGTGGGGGGTGGTTGTCTCTTCCATGTCGGGCGGCGGTGATCCGGAAACGTGGTACACTAGGGGTGGTGCTGAGATTTACCATTGTGACTGAACCAGGCCTCACATGATTTGAATCAAAAGAAGACTGCAAGGGTAGAGAGGGCATCTGGAAGCTGTCAAGATGAATTAATTGGGGGGAGATCGTCTTCCGTCTTCCGATCGGGGTCATCTCGTCTCATCTTCCATGGGTACGAACCGAGCTGTCACTGCTTGCGAGGCTGGCCGTCAGAAGGGCAGGGGGAAGGGGGAGAGCTTCACCCACCTGCTGGCTGGTGCGTTGCCGTCCCAATAAATCAATAACTGAATAAATACAGGTGCCTGCTAACAGGCAGATACCAAATACTTGCAGAGCACACAGTATTAATCGGCTGCATCGGTCGTTCTCCTCGCCTAGTCGAGGTTAGTGCACCTGCCAACTAGTAAACAGTGGGGTGCCCAGGGCAGGAAAGTCCCCAGCTCGCGACTTCCGTGGCCAATGGGCAAGGGCCAAGAGGGGGGAGGGGGGGTTGAGGTCGAGGGGTGATTGGCACATCACTTGCAGCCAGCACCAAGAGAAGCAGCACCAAAGCAGCACACAGCAGCATAACCTGGGTGCCTGCGGCACTCAGCGGTGAGAGATCCATCTGCAGCGATTGTGGCCCGTGCACGCAATCAAAAATCAACAAACCGTGCCCACTGCCTTGCCTGCTAGGACCCCTTCACCCCTGGCACCTTGCTCAGTCCCAGTAGAGTAGTAGCACACACATCACAGAGAGGGAAAGCAGAGCGCCTCCACTCCACTCTTTTCTCCCAGAACCCAGACGGGCCCTGCCAGACCCAGACCCAATCCCATCCCAACACCACCACCACCCTCGCCGCCGATACCCAAACCTCACCTTCTCAATCTCGACTCGAGCTACCAGCCCTCCGTCCTGGACCTCGCTGCTCTCGACTGTCTACTGTCCTTCTTCTTCTCTCCAATCTACTCGACACCAACGTCGTCTAATCTTCAAGATGCGTGAGATTGTAAGTTGTCCTCGCCCCCAAAACCATCGCAGAGACGCGTCGGCCCATGGCTGCTTTCGCATCCTCTGCCCCTGAGCCTACCCCACCATCGCGACCACACCCACGATCGGGCCTCAAAACACCACAAATACCCTGAAACAAGCACTTCCATGCCTTCGAAGACGCGTCAGATTGCTAACATGGCCTTTTTCTCGCCCACAGGTTCATCTCCAGACCGGCCAATGCGTAAGTTGCTCCTGTCAACACACCACCGCACCTTATCGCCGCCTGTAGCTGACACGTTTCCCAGGGTAACCAAATCGGTGCTGCTTTCTGGTGCGTCCCAGCTCCATCACCGCGATACTCGACGCGCGACAACACGACCTCGCAACATCCTTACTGACCTCGACTCGTAGGCAAACCATCTCTGGCGAGCACGGCCTCGACACCAATGGCGTGTATGCACCTCCTATTCCATGCCCATCGATCTCGGCCTCGGGGATTGGCACTGACAATTGCACAGCTACAACGGCACTTCCGAGCTCCAGCTCGAGCGCATGAATGTCTACTTCAACGAGGTAAGTCAATCACCAAAACATGACTTTGACGAGCTCCCAAGACAATGTCTTCTGTTGTCGCTGAGGCTTTGCTGACCGCTTATCGCCCAGGCTTCCGGCAACAAGTATGTTCCTCGCGCCGTCCTCGTCGATCTCGAGCCCGGTACCATGGACGCCGTCCGTGCCGGTCCCTTCGGCCAGCTGTTCCGTCCCGACAACTTCGTCTTCGGCCAGTCCGGTGCTGGAAACAACTGGGCCAAGGGTCACTACACTGAGGGTGCCGAGCTCGTCGACCAGGTCCTCGACGTCGTCCGTCGCGAGGCTGAGGGCTGCGACTGCCTCCAGGGCTTCCAGATCACCCACTCTCTGGGTGGTGGTACTGGTGCTGGTATGGGTACTCTGCTCATCTCCAAGATCCGTGAGGAGTTCCCCGACCGCATGATGGCTACCTTCTCCGTCGTGCCCTCCCCCAAGGTCTCCGACACCGTCGTCGAGCCCTACAACGCCACCCTGTCCGTCCACCAGCTGGTCGAGAACTCGGACGAGACCTTCTGCATCGACAACGAGGCCTTGTACGACATTTGCATGCGCACACTTAAGCTGTCCAACCCCTCCTACGGCGATCTGAACTACCTGGTGTCGGCTGTCATGTCCGGCGTCACTGTCTCCCTGCGTTTCCCTGGTCAGCTGAACTCTGACCTGCGCAAGCTGGCCGTCAACATGGTTCCCTTCCCCCGTCTGCACTTCTTCATGGTCGGCTTTGCTCCCCTGACCAGCCGTGGCGCCCACTCCTTCCGCGCCGTCACCGTGCCCGAGCTCACCCAGCAGATGTTCGACCCCAAGAACATGATGGCTGCTTCTGACTTCCGCAATGGTCGCTACCTGACATGCTCTGCCATCTTGTAAGTTTAATGAGAACCCTGTCGTTCCAATCATCTAGTCGCATGCTGACACTGTCTTCTAGCCGTGGTAAGGTCTCCATGAAGGAGGTCGAGGACCAGATGCGCAACGTCCAGAGCAAGAACTCCTCATACTTCGTCGAGTGGATTCCCAACAACGTCCAGACCGCCCTTTGCTCGATCCCTCCCAAGGGTCTCAAGATGTCCTCCACCTTTGTTGGTAACTCGACTGCTATCCAGGAGCTGTTCAAGCGTGTGGGCGAGCAGTTCACTGCCATGTTCCGTCGCAAGGCTTTCTTGCATTGGTACACTGGTGAGGGTATGGACGAGATGGAGTTCACTGAGGCTGAGTCCAACATGAACGATCTGGTCTCTGAATACCAGCAGTACCAGGACGCCTCCATCGACGAGGAGGAGGAGGAGTACGAGGAGGAGGTGCCCCTCGAGGGCGAGGAGTGAATAGTGGTCTGATGAGATCTGCTGTCTGTGGTTCGTTCGATGATCTAGGACTTTTTTTTACCGTCCTTAATCCGTCATCATTGTAACCTCACGACACTCCTCACACCCAGCTCTTGTGTGTGTGCGCGTATGTGCGTATGTGTGGGATGCTGAATGTTGTGTGGATAGCTATTCGATTCATGAGTCGGGAGGAGCGCGGGTGTTCTGGTAATTATTGATTGACAGACCCGATCGACCGTCCGAAAGAGAGAAAAAAAGGGGCAACATTGACTTTTAAAAATATACCTCTTTGTAGTTGACCCTTTACCCAGCCAGCCTCCAACTTTGCAGTCTTCCATGCACGCGTCCACCCAAAATGAAATTCAAGAGTCGAGAAACAGTGCTGTCTATCTGCGGGCTACTGTGTTTTGGTGGCCCCTGGTTCATGTCTCATCTACATCTGGTTCACTTAAGGCCTACATACTTATCCTTCATTCTGTCCTAGCAAGAATGGAGTAGCTACCGTCCTTTTTGCTCTATCCAGACAATAGAGGGAATGTAGAAAGGTAGGTAGATAGGTGAATGGATGATGAGTGCGATTTACCAACTTGCGTTCAAAGGATCAATCTTTGGGGCGACACAGGGTAAAAAAAACATAACATGAACTGCATGCACACCTCGTGGTCATGATTCCCATGTCGATTTTGCTTGCTTTCAAGCAGAGAGGAGGAAGCTTGGGTCCTGTACGGCATATGTCTCGGACCTTGTCCCACACACCAACATAACAGGGAAATAACTCCTCTCCAGAGTTTGCGGATAATAACGCTGCTACCTCCTGGACACGAGTGATATCCCATCCAATGCTTAATTTGAGTTGATATTGAGGCCTATGATGATCATTGAGTAGTGAGGAATCATCACATGTGTCATTTCGGCGTTTGAACGACTGAAGTGAACAACTTGTGAAATTGACTCCCCCGAGTTGATGCCAACCAGGTCGCATCACATAGGTCATGAAAGACTAACCTTCCTCCTTTTCCTCTCGTCCCGGATCTTCGTCATCTGCATTGTCGCCGGCCAGGTCCTCAGGGTCTACATATGTATATATATATTGGCTGGCACCCTCGCCCTCAAGGAGGTGCATTGGCGTCACCTCATGTAAGCTCCCAATGTTCCTCTCCGTAACACTCGGGAAGCCCATTCTCCTCCCATTCAGTTCAAAAAATTCCGATGGCGTCTTGTTCATGATGAGCCGCACGGTTTCCTCCCCGGCCTCTGGCACGCGCACGCTGATGGCAGTGTCGCGCGTGTCAAAAGAAGCAGGTATCGTGAGGAGCTGCAAAGACCGTTCCGGCCGGGACAGCGGCCCCCTCGACAGATCCACTGTGATATTTTGGTTGGCGGAAGAAATTGTGAGGAGCCCTGTGTCACCATTCTCGTTTGTTACAATTGGCGACTGGTTGATTAGCTCGCCGGGTCGTAGAGTTGAGCCAACCAGTCCTAGTTGGTCATTCATTCTCTGCAGGCCACTTGTGTCTGTTTGCTCCAATTGCGTGGCATGATTTGCTCTGCTTTGACCAAGATGCTTTCCTGGATTATCGGTGTTCCAAAACAGCGATACATCAGAGACTGCAGAAAACGTTGGTGTCCTCGCAATGATGTAGCGACCGCATGCGGAGAAGCTGAGAGACTTGTAAACACAGTTCGCTATGTTGCATTTATGTATTACGCATAACCCGGACACTCCGTCCTCTGAACATTCGTCGTAGTCCATGGGCACGTGGACGGGTCTGGCAGCTAAAGAATGGCTGAGCTGTCTGGTATCTTGCCATGGCCTGGGTTAATGGATCTGTCCACTTACCTGTCTGAAAATTCCAAAGCCAGACTTTGCGGCTCCCCAGGTATGCAATCAGAGGTTGGCTGGGATGAAAAGCCTCGCTTTCCATTCTATTGGTGCCCAAGGTAACCATGGTGGTCCATTTCAGGACGCTGATCTCCGGATAATTTGAGACGCTGAATATAGCCAAATGTGCCAACAGCATGTCCCTAGCTAGCGCAGGTTTCCTGTGGTCGATGAATGACAAGTATATGCCATTTGGGCTGAACACTATGGAATAAATGTAAGTATCTTCCAACGGCGCTGAGTCCCATTCTTCGCTCCCGCCGGCTTGGCAATCCTGGTCATTGGACGGCTTTGAAGTCCAGTGTTCTTCATAGTGCCTCAGGAAGTTGAGGTCGAGGACAGCGGGGATGCATTGCAAAGGGCCCCTGGATGGTGAGATCTGGAAGCTGTAGACCGTTCTGAGGATGGAGAGACTGAGGCAGTCCGGGCTGATGGCCATGGGAAAACTCATGTGAAAGCTTGAGTTGTGTCGTTGCTTGCGGCAGCGGAACGACTGGCGAAGCAATGCAGCCACCTCTTTCTCGGGCAAGTCAATGTGGTGGCTTGCTAGACGGGTTTTGTTTTCAGCATCCCACCATTCATAAATCACAGCCCACCCGACACTGAATCTTTCTGCTTGGGGACACAGATATCCCGTTGGCCGCCATTGAAGGAAAGAGGAGCGCAAGTTGTAGGGGCCTTCAAACTGTCTCGTGACTGAAGGATCGGGCCCTTCATTCTGAAGGGAAAACCTTTCTTTGAAGTCTATCGAGCAATAGGCGCTGAGAACCCCAATTATTGATCCGTCCCTTGACGCGGCACTTACAGTACAGATATGGTGAAGGTTGGGCCTCACAGTATCCCGTGCTGCACTCGGCTCCAGTGTGACAAGTTTTGTCGACCCTCGATATGGTTGCTCGATCTGTGACAAAACTCCTTTCTTTTGAAAGACCAGTATGTCATCCCAGATCAGTGAAGGATCTTGATTCAATTTTCTCTCCCAGTCGGTCTCAAGACTGATGAGCTGGTCAAATAGCCCATAGAGCCCTCGAATGATGGGTTTGACGGAATGCATGGACTTGTCAGAATTTATGTGAATCTCCGCTTCTCGCGTCCACTCTCTTGCAGCTGGCAAAAGAGTTCCTTGATGGGTGAAGGGTGCCCTATGGAGGCATTCTATCCAATATGCCACTGCTAGACCGGTATTGCTGAATGTCTGCATGGTGTCCAGAGCAATTTTCGTGGAATCAGAACCATACAGCATGGAGAGCTGCGATGCACTGATCTCGGTGAGATGCTTCGTCCAATTCCTGGCAGCATACGCCTCGAATGTTCGCTCCCAAAGACGATCATCCTGTAACTTGCGGGTTGGGGCAATGTCTGGTGCTGCCCAACAGAGATACTCGAGGCATCTTTGGACAATATCAATCTGTGCGATATGCCACGGTGGTAGCAATGGCGAATCCAGGTTGAGCCGAGACCATGGGTTGCTGTCGAGAAACTCCTTGACAGTAAGATGACTGAAGCGGAAGGCACCTAGAACGGACTCAACCAAGCCGCAGCATACAGACACCGCAACGGCGGGGAATTCATCGAACTCATCTTCGTCCTCCGGGTCCTTCACGCAGGTTTCAAGCATCTGAGCCCAGCAGGCTCCTCGTGAATATCGAACCCACAACAGTATTCGGCGCGCAAGCGATCGCTCGGGACTCGCTGAGTGACTGATAAGCTTTACTATTCTGTCATACATGGTGTCGAGACCTTCTGGAAACCGGACACCCTGAATCGTCTTAATACGACGGTTGGGCGTCAAAGCCGGCGAGTTGAGGAATCCTGCCATGAGTGCAGCCCACAGGAACATTCCATCGGCCCCCAGGACGAGAGACTCGACCAGGTCGGAGACGTCCGAGTCGGCCGGAAGCTTCCGCTGCTTGTACATCTCGGTAAGCTGCCGCGTCAGAACCATGCGGATGTCAGGACTAGTCGATTCTCGCCGGATGGCAATGCGGTTGCTTTCAGGAACCCGACACAACAGATCGATGATGTTGGTTCGGCTGAGACAGATAAGCTTTACCCACCCCCATGTGACCAAGTCTTCCAAAAGCCCGAGTGCCTTTTTTGAATCGGACGCTTCATCCAGTCCGTCAATGATGATATATAGCGGACCATTTCCTGTTGCCAATATGCGTAGTAGGTCCTTCAGATCATTCTCGGTGGCGACGCGCTGGCCCGAAGCCAAGGACGGCTCATACTGCGCGAAGAGGAATCGGTCCAAGATGTTCGTGTTATGTTGATTTTGGTGGAGAAACTGTGCAAGGACAGATCTATATGCTGCGCTGAGACTCGAGCACAGTCTATCACCATACTTGAAGAAGAAGTATGTGACGAGGTTGGATGGGGTCTGAAACTCTTGGTGCCCTTTCAAATAATCGACTATAGCTGAGGCCAGGACTGTTTTTCCGCAGCCAGGGTTACCTGGCATCGAGTCATTAGACCAATGAAAAAGTGTTGGAGAGAGATACGTTATATGCCTACCATGAATCCATAGCACCTGAGGAGTCATCTCTCGCTCCTTGCTAGTGACATGGGCAGTGGCAGTGCCCTCACATGCCAGCCACCTTTTGAAAGTGGGCTCTTCAAATACCCACTGAGATGTGTTCTCGCCTCGCTTATCCTGCGAGTCTTCCAGTGCTTGAGCATATGGTGGTGGGTCTAGCCACTCCAAGAGACGACGCACGACACTTGCTTTTGACTGTTCATGAATTGTCGACTGCATGTCCTCTGATAGTACTTGTAACCTTTCAAGACTATCTCTGATGAGCGAAGACCGATGGTCACTGGACTTGGCATTGTCTTTGGACTGTACTACCATGAATATCTTGACCTCATTCATGATGAACGTCTGATGGCTCTTCATCCTGTCTAGCAACTGGCTGAAGCGAGAGTTAGATGGCCGCCAAATGGCATTCGTGATGAGAGTCACGGGGCGTTTGATTTCTGCCTTTTACATTAGCATTGCCCCAAAATAAGACGACTTAGACACTTTCTGGCACTTATACGAGGTACTTACTTCCATCTGATGCCATGAACACCTTAGCTGCAGCTTGAAAGAGCTCTAGCAGGTCCGTATACACAAGCTCAAAGTGGCGGCGTAGTCGAGGTTCATACTCTCCATTGAGTACCTTTAAAATGGCTTCGTATTGAGGGAACACGTTGCTCAGGTACTGAACAATCGACATGAACTTGTCGAGAAACGTGGGAAACGCACTTGCCATCTAAAGTGATTCCACATCAGATAAGTATCTCATAAAAAAGGCCCACTAGGGCGTGGATCATGTTTAGCTTTCGAACGATCCATGGGCTTTAGATAATGTCTATGAATACCTGAATGACGAGGCGAAAAGCTCCATAGATCCATGCCGCGAGATTGTTAGTGGTCGCGATTGTGTTGAGGGCGTCGAAATACGGCACAAGTCGGTCGTTGAGCTCTTTGAAGATGTCCACATAACGCAGCAGTCCGCCCTTACGACTTCGTTTATTTACAAGATGTTCCAAAGTGGTGATCACGTCTTGAGCTGACGTGAGCACTGAAATGCCGATTTCCACCTGGTCTTCTGTCGTCAGGTTGGTCAAGAAGGCCTTCTGAGCGTCCTGGTAAGGAGTTGTGGTTGACATCTTGTGAAAGCTTGTGTATTAGCGAGGTTGAAGCTTGGCTCGAGGTGGTATTCAAAGGAACGAAACGCAAGAAAAGACTGGATTTTGAACTGCAAGGTCAGCCAGCAGGGAAACCATTGTTCCACCGTTGAGAGCGGCGCAGCACATAACAGCGTAGCACCCTAGTCGCTGAGCCCCCCAAGCAATGCAGCTGCAAGCACTAAGCCTCAATAGGGGATTGCGAATCAGCATAGGTAGCTCATTGTCTCACTGCCAATAGGACAGCTAGACACAGCTATTTGGCAGACACGTGTGTAGAAAGGAGGCCGCGGAAACATGTCAGTCAAGCCTTGCAACGACCACCCTAGATGTGTCCCGAGGTATGCGCTAGTCAAACTTCATAATAATTAGAGAAACTACAACTTCCAATATTATTCAACAAGTACCTTCGAAGCTATTTACAGTATTGGCGGTGGGCTGATAAGATGAGCTTATCAACAAGGGCCTTGTCGGCTATATGAACAATGTAGGCGTATAGCTAAACAAGACCGGTGGTTTGGCCGGGGCTTAGCGGACGTGTCAAGCAGCCGTTGAAGTAAAGCACATAGTAAATGGGATACATGTCCCATTTACTATGTGCTGACTGATCCTCGGGTTGTCTTCTCCATTCTTACGCGGGGTCCAAAGAATACCATGCTGCACTGAAATGTCGTCGTCTTTAAGGAAAGCGCTGGTCTCATTGACGTTGAGAATGACGTCCACTGACGTAACTGCGGCCACGAACTCCCAACGACACTTCCACCCTCACCTCAACTCTGTCTTAAATAAGTGCAACATTGGCACAAACCTAACTTACAAGCCTAGAAGAAAAAATAGACCACGGCAATACTTTCAAACCGATTTACCTCCCCCAAAATCAACTGCACACAGCTTTCTGCCCAGCATGACTGATCCACAACGAGACGTAGAGGGCGAGGAGCTCACAACCAAGAGCAAGGTCTTGGAGACAGGTGCCGCCATGACACAGGTGAGAAAGATGGCTTTCTGTACAGCTTGGGGCTGCTCCGAAAACACACAGAAATGCTGACGGTCCAGGGAAGGACTTCGCACCAGTGAAGAGCATCTGCGCCCATCTGAACGCCTTCCACGTCTACGCCGACGACCCAAAGCGGTTTGTCGAGGCAAACCACTACTGCAGCCATCTGACAGAAGGTGCGCATCTTCCACCATGAAAATTGTGCAAACAACTTACCACAGACGCATTACTTGCTGATCACCACCGAGCCGCGTAGACGTCCGCCAGTGCATTCTCTACGACAGCCCCGACCCAGGCGCCCGGCTCATCGGCATCGAGTACATGATCACGCCGAAGCTGTACGCCACGCTCGACGCCGAGGAGCGCAGGCTCTGGCACAGCCACGTCTTCGAGGTCAAGTCCGGGATGCTTGTCATGCCGCAGCCGTCGGCGCTCGTGCCGCAGGCCGCGTGGGAGCGGGCCGAGGCGGCCGAGATGGAGGACGTGGTCGAGCTGTACGGGAAAGTCTACCACCTTTGGCAGGTGGACAAGGGGCACAAGATACCCCTGGGCGAGCCGAAGCTGATGACGAGCTTTACTAAAGCCGAGCAGATGCCGGACTTTGAGAAGGTGGTGGGTGAGAGGGATGCGAGGTTTGCGGGGGTCGATTGGAAGAGGAAGAAGGAGATTCGGGAGTATATCAAGGAGCCTGAGATTCATCCTGACGCTGATGCTACTTGGGGACCTAAGTAACTCATAAGTCCTTTGATGGCAGAAACTCCTACCTGAAATTTTGACTGCAGAATGCTTGCAGCTGAGACTGATGAAAGATGTCTATTTTCCGAGGTTTGCACGTTCATTGCTAAGGTCGGCAAGACAGGATGTGCCTCTACATAAGCTACCATGAAATCCATAGGCTTGTCTTTGCCTTCTTCGAAAAGGCGAGAAGCGCTTTAGGAAATTCGGACGGTTTACGTTTATTAATCTCTCAGAGGTAATTGTAGGAATAGTAGCGTTAGCGTTTATAGCAAACCAATTGGTCTGTATGGCATATGCTTATGAGTAAGGTATAGCAGGATATAGCCTTTAGCTGCCTTTTATAACTAAGCAAGCAATATATAAGTATAAGCTGAAGGATTACTATAAGGGCGAGTCTAACAATTTCTTAGGACTACGAATTCCTCACATATAATTCCAGCTCCCACGGCGACCCACTCTCTATCCCCAGGCCAAGAGAAGGATATGGTTTACTGCATCTAATTTGGCTGAGAATGTTGAGGCCATGAATTCTGAGGATCGGATCCGACACACGATTCAGGGGCACGCACGTGATGACTAGTACTATGATGTACTGGCAGACCTTAAGGAGAACACGGCACTAGTTGACTTGTTAGTTGCGTTGGTCATCTACTACCGAACGACAGGATATGGCCCGGAAGACGGAACCAGCTCTGAGTCTATCATCTCCAACTTGCGCCAGGCCCGATGGATTACAGCCTACGCCGCCCTCATGAGTAACAAGGTGGGCCACACCTAGTGAGAGACCCGAGGCCCCCAACGCGGCTCATATCAAGCCTATTACGACGAGGCCCCCCGAGCTGCCCAAGTATTTAGGTGCTAGGAGGCGAGCCGGTAGTGACAAATGTGTCAGAATCTGTACACCCTCAGCGGATCCACAAGCAACAAAAGTACGGTACAGCCAGTCGCGGTCGCGCAAATATAGACTACGGTACTGCTCATGCAATCAGTGCATGTATCAGTCTGACAAAATAAAATTATCCCTCTTTGCGCGGTGCGCGCCCTCTTGATTGATGCGCCTTGTAATGATCATTGGTAGATTCTCGACTGCAAGACTCTAGCCCTTGCCAATCAGTTAATAAAATCTGCACCACCAGCGTCGTCAGCTTTACGCCCGACTACAGCCTGACAGGGCAACATGCAGTTCTCCAATCGAGATCTGGCCGAAATGACTGGTGATCTCTTGGAATATAACCCGCAAGAATATTCGCCAGATAATGCAGCAAAGATTTGGTTCTTGCCCTTTGAATTTCGTCTTCATATTGACAGTTGTTCAAACCTAGAAAGTCTCAGTAAGACCGCGTCACAACTGCTCACATAGCCAACCACGCTGTTATCGAACCTCATCTCCAATTTCAAGATGACCCAATTCACATATACGAAGCTTGATCGCAGCCGCGAGGAAATCCGACTTCTGCGGTTGCTGCCAGGCGAATTTGACGACGACATCGCTTTTAACATCTTCCACACTCCCTTAACGCCGGCGCCACCTTCCGCTTCGACCAGATTGTCTCTCAGAGAACTCCAGAACACTCTCCCGGATCCCAGAAATCAAGTAGTAGGAAAGACATTCGACAATCGCTATCTCTTCGTCAACTTTGGCAAGGATGACCCCCCAAAGCCCAACTCGTTCGACCATCCGAGCCCCGACTTCGATCGTAGCTCCTATATTCTAGGCCCACCATTGAAAGACTATGAACCCAAGTTCGAGGCCCTGTCGTACACTTGGGGAGACAGCACAAGCCCGATCTCTGCCTTTGTGGCCAGCTCGACCGATCCGGGGCTTACAATGCCGATCGGTCGGAACCTGGCCATGGCGCTACGATATCTTCGTTCAAAGGACCAGTCCCGGACTCTATGGGTGGATGCCGTCTGCATCAACCAAAACGACGTCGACGAGCGAAACGTAGAGGTCAAGCGCATGAAAGACGTGTACACGTTAGCAAATCGCACTGTCATCTGGCTGGGTGAGGAAGCGGACGAAAGCACCCTGGCACTTAATACTCTGCATTACTACGGAAACCAGATCGAGGTTGCTGAGAATGAGATCAACGTATTTGCTGGCGATGCTCCAGGGGCCACCAAGCCTCACTGGTGGCAGGACGAGTGCGAACTGCCGTTCGACAAAACGACGTGGGACTCGTTAAAGAGCCTTCTTCTTCGCCCGTGGTTTAAACGAGTCTGGATATTACAAGAGGCTTTGCTATCCAGAGCGAGGGCAGATGTTCAATGTGGTCGCACGACTGTACCATGGGTGGCTGTTCAGAAATCAATGTACAGGCTTGAGAGCAATCAATCGATCCCTTTGGAAATCGCTCAATTATTACGGCCATGGGCCGCCATACTAGCACCAGCGCAACGCAATGCTGGCGTGTGCTTGTTGCGATGGGCAAAACATCAAAATTGCTCAGATCCTCGCGATAAGGTTTATGGTGTCCTCAGCTTGGTACCCGAGAAGATACGACGCCATATCGACGTCGACTATTCCAAGACGGTGTCGCATGTCTATATTGACGCGATTCTGGCTGAGATCCAGGCCACGAAGGAGGTCCATCTTCTCGGAGACATTAGTCCTCTTGCCGACCGAATGCCCGACGCTCCATCTTGGGTTCCAAATTGGGCACCGAAGGCTAACCCTCGCCCCGAACTTTTCCCAGACCGACGGTTCTTGCCATCACTTAATTCGGCAGCCGCAGTCCGACACGTGGACCCGAACATCCTCGAGGTAATGGGCGTGCATTGCGCGACGGTCTCTTCGCTCGGGCCGGCGGCCTCTGGCTCATCGGCCGATCGACTGCGAGCGTTCATCGCATGGCAGACCCGAAAATTCGGGAGACTTCCAAAGGAAGGAACTACGACTGAGCACCTCGATGCCGGTCTGTATGCATTGCTATATGGGGGTGTGAGGGAGACCGCCACTCAACAGATCGACCACTCTGTCTTTCCAACGATAGACGACGTTCGATCGCATTATCTCCGCGCTGCGGCCGGGGATGCTGCCTCTTTCGACGTCATCGCAGGACACGTCACTGCCTTCGCAGGCCATGGGGATGGCTCACTTTTCATTACCAATGAAGGACACGTGGGCGTTGGGCCGTGGGAAGTGCAGCTAGGTAAGACTACTCAAGCTCTATAAGTTATGGGGGCTTCGAGCTGACTCACACCAAAGGGGATCATGTATGCTCAGTTCTTGGCCATCGGTCCTTGATGCTGCTGCGTCCGGTAAGCCCCCAGAACTATGTTGTTGTAGGGGCATGTGCCGTCCGTGGCCTCATGAATGGCGAAAGCCTTCTCGGCACGATCCCTACCCCTTGGCAGGCGGCTGTCCAATATATTGGTCCATCTGGTCCATCCGACCAATTCGGGGTCGATTGCTTATTGTTTAGAAATTCTGCGACCAGCGAAACGACGTTGCAAGACCCAAGACTGCCGCCTCTTCCTGCAGAATGGGAGATGACTCGTAACTTCGATTTGCATAGTCATCTTTCACGATATTTCCACTATTACAAAATTACGCAAACCGGCGAAATTATCGACCGTGATCCCAGACTCTTGCCCGAAGCTTTACTTCACCGTGGCATTAATGTGAAAGTTTTCCAGCTAACTTAAGCTTCAAGACTGTATTGGCAACGAGATGATTCGAAAAAGGACCTCGTTTGGATCGGGCACTGATCGATCTTTGGTGCTGATGAAGCCAGAGAACTCCGCCTTCGTAGTGTACTCGTGTCAGGTCGACGTTATATGTGGCCTCCCTGTAAATCAATAGAGCCGCCTTGAGAGTCCTAGCTGCCCGGAGCAGCTTGTTGCGTTGTTGCAAGATTTTGCACTGAACTTTATGAGTCTTCCAATGCGCTCTCTAGCAGTCGCAGTTATGTCTGGTCGGACGGGCCGTCTGACCTTCCCTTGCCGAATAACTTGTCTAACTTGCCCGAATCATCATCAGAGATTTACTCTATCAGAGTTAGCTGTTAAGCCCACAGCTGCACATGCGGCTTAAAATCCTGTCAGCACCGCACAAAATTCTTCCTGAAGAGCTAGTTATAATAAAATAATATAGCTTTTAGCTACTTTTTATAACTAAGTAATCAATATACACTTAAATAAATATTAATATCCCTAAACGCGCATTATATTTAAATACATGACCCAGCTAACAGTAATATTATTATTGTGGGCTGCGGATCCGTCCTGGTTACGAGAAGGATTCTCAACCCTGCAGATGCACGATCTTTGTTGCGTAACTCATCCCCTTGAATGAGTCTCAGAGAACTGCAATTTGTTTGCCGCCTCGATAAGTATGGGTTTACCACGTGGATGAAGTTCTTGAACCCCGAAATTTTGTTGTTCCCTTACCCAACTTGCCTTGGCAATTGATAGCCTCGTTGACGCCAAGACAACGCGACAACGTTTGATTCGCAGCTTCGCAGTGGCTTTACATTGATTTGCAAAAGCATTTGCTTGACGCCAGTTGAGCCGGAATCGAAGAGCTGCTGCATGATTGTCTGTTCTCCGAGGCAAGAGCCATTAAAATGGGTGGATTGGTGCCTCGTGGCTCCCCTCCACCGCTTAAGATCACAACTTACGATCCCTCCTGGACATATTTCGACCAGGACACAACCTCAGTCGGTGTCCTCGCTGAGCCACTGGTCCAGTCTGTGGCAAACATTCAGTCGCTGCTGGGAGACATTGAGGATCTGACGAGGCTCGACAAGTCAAGGGGACATGTATTTCTCGAAGTATCTCGCGGGGGTTGTGTAGCCACATCCGCGGAGGCTGCGCGGATGTCAGGCGCCAACTGTTCATCGATATGTATGGATCCTGCGACGCTATTCTTGCCATTCAACCTAGGCGCCTGTATCGGTGTTGGCACGGCTGCGATGCTCATTCAAAACGGGAGTTTGTCCCTGGACGGGGAGGACAAGACAACCGTGCGGGCTGCCGACTCACTGGGCGTGGTCGACTTTTCCGTGTGGAATGGGAGAAAGGTCATTCAGGATCTCGTGACTTGCGCCGTCGCCTCGTGTACCACGAATAACGTGGCCGCGTGCCCCGAGGAGACATTGGCCCTGGAAGGCGTTGTCGTCGACGCGTCTAATCTGCAGACTGTCTATGATGGATTAAGCGTCTACTGCGACAACATCGGCGTGCAGGTCGACTCGGATATCGCGGGACCAGGCGTCATGCTCTCATACCTGCTGCAAGTTTGCACGGCGCTGTTTCTTTGGGTGGTGGTGAAGCTCCTCACCTCCTGGACACGGGTGTTGATCTGGCCGTTCTGCATGTGCAAGCACGGCGATTCCTCACCGACCTCCTCTTTGGCGAATATGCAGTGCCGTGGGACGGCGGCCTGGCTTCAAGCCGCTGCCATACAGGCGCGCCTTGCTCGCTCGACGCTCTACACCGTCACGATCTCGACTCTTGTCGAGTTCCAAGAGGTTCAGGCGTGGTTCGTCGGTGCTATCCAAGTCGCCACCCTCGCAACTTTCCAGGTCACAAGCAGGTCTACTATGGACTCAGTCAATATCAACAGTTTCGGCGAGGCGATTCTTAGTAGTCGCCTTGTGCGAATGCTGGCATTCGACGGAATCTATCCCATCTTACTAGTACAGTTCGTTCTCCAGCGGGAAGCGATGAGGTGGTGGTACACTTTTACCTTGGTCGTGTGTAACTTTTCTCTGGCAATGGCAGTCAAGGAAAGGGTGGCGTATCGCGTCGCCGACTTCGACGTACTATGGGCAGCTTTCAAGGATGCGACTTCTGTGGATGCCTGTGGGGGCAATCCGAATCCAATGGTGTACTGCAACACCTTCAGCGCGCCCTGGGATCCGATCGCCATGGGCACCTTTTGGGTATACTCGGCCATGGCGCTCCTCGTCCTTGACTTCTTCGTTCACCACCTTCGACACTCGCGGTGGATTCGAGGCACGTCCTACACATTGGAGACGGCAAACAGTCCATGCCGGTGGTGGGCACAGATGAGTTTTTGGAGGCCAGTGATGCGCGGCTTGCGATTCTTTCATGAGCATATACTCCTCTTGCTGGCAGGATTTTACTTCGTCAGCATGCTGGTGATGACGTCGGCGATGAAAGATTCGCTTGGTAACTGGAGTTACGGCCAGCTTGTTGCGGTCACAGTCTGGGTGCCAACACTGACCAAGTTTCTATACTATAACATCTGTGAGTTGAAGATGTTTTCATACAAAGGAAGTCGTTACCGTTCTGGTGATGTGAAGCTGACGGCTCTATCAGTTGGGATTGAGGAAGGCATCGGCCGCCGATTGACGGATCATTATAAAGTTGTGCACAACTTACATGACAGAAGGGAAGGCGACGATGCTCATAATGAGATTCTAGATCTTGATGATGTGCAGAAGGTGTCTTTAAGATCGAGTATTGGGCCAACGATTTCACCAGCGTCAACAATCCAGTTGTCGGAGCCAATTCGACTTGAGAAGAGGCCAACCTTGCTGTGTTGGAGAAGAAGCTGATATTAGACCAGCTGATGATGTGTTTTGAGCCTCGCGACAGTTCAAATTGACAAATTGACTGATAATTGTGACGATGAATAATCAATATCTTTTCGGGAAATTATCCGTATCTTTCCATATCCTTCTTCCAACGAGACTTCACATCTTGCAACAGATTCTTCTGAGACAGGACATCCAGTGCCGTCCCGGCCATCGCTTTTCCAACCCTCAAGCAACGCTCAAATGCGTCCATCGTTCCAGACGCCACTGCAAAGTCAGGGCTGTGAGGGCCCTGTCCTTTTGGGCCAGGGAAAATCGAAAAAGCGACGTTCAAGCTGGGCATCTGATAGCTGATGTCACCTTGATCTGAGCTAGCCCTCGTTGCTCCTCTCGCCTCATCGACGTCCTGGTCAAGTGGTATTCTCGATGTAGGCGGCTCGTACGGATCATCCTTCGGGGGAACCATGCAGTTGAAGTATCGGGTGTAGCTCCTCGCCAAAACGCGGTTGGGGACGTGGTCGGCGTACGTCTGCTCCTCGGTCATCTTGAGTCTTGCCCCTGTGGCTTTGGCGCCTGCCTCGAAGCAGGCGTCGACCTTCTCCTTGAGCTCTTTGAGTCGAGCGCGTGTGTCTGACCTCACCACGAACACGCCCGCGGCATAGGCATGGATTATATTAGGCGCCGCGCCGCCGTCTGTGATGTGGCCTTGGATGATGTCACCCGGCATGGTCTGTTGTCTCAGCATTGACACTGAATTGTACGCCGTTATCAGGGCATCGAGCGCGTTGATCCCAAGCCATGGGTTCGCGGCTGCGTGCGCCTCTCGGCCGAAGTACTCGACCTTGAAGCGCGTGTATGCCGCCGTCCGCATGAGCGCGGCGTCGTGCACAATGCCGGGGTGTGAAATGAGATTCAAATCAACCTCGTGGTCTCTGTACGCGCCGGCGTGAATCAGCCTTATCTTGCCGCCACCGCCCTCTTCGGCGGGCGTTCCGAAGAGAATGACTTTTCCCGGCAAGGAGTGTTTGCGCATCAGCTCTGCTGTGGCAAGGCCGCCTGCCAGCGAGGCGGTTGCGATGAGATTGTGTCCGCAGGCGTGCCCTATGCCTATAAGAGCGTCTTGAATAAGATATTAGTCTGTTTCTTTATCCGGGAGTGATATGCATGTCTCCATACCCATCTCAACATTGAAAGAGACCACCGGCCCTTTACGTCCGGTGTCATGCACCGCTATCCATGCTGTCTCAAGACCATAGACCGATGGAGTCACCTTCCAACCCTCTTGAGACCTCATGAAATTGACCAGGGCCTCATGAGCAATATATTCTTTGTAGTTCAGCTCTGGGTTATCATGGATCTTCTTGTTTACCGGCCACAACGAGTCAGCAATGCTATCGACATGCGAGCTGATATCGCGGAGATAAGGGGGTTCTGGCTGATCGCAATCACGGGAAACAAAAACCCAATCCTCATCTTGGTCAGTCATTGCCATCACTAGAGTCCTGTGATTTCTGAAATCATTTCGTGATGAGTGAATGTGATGAACGAAGTGTGGCCCGGGCCACCTGGCAGAAGTGAGATTAGACGCTGTGGAACCGGAAGATCCCTAGCGGGTCCGGAACTCTAATATCGAATATTTTAGAGATAGCGCTAGCCGCCAGATTAGGCCGCAATACAAAATGTTCGTCCCAAGTGAGTGAATTGAGATTGTGAGAAATTGCACACTGCGAAATGCGGGCTGGCTATTACTGGAGACGTATTTACTAACGTCTATTGCCGGCATGGCTATGTCTGTACACTTGTGTGCCGCTTTCCTGTATTGATCAAGCATCTCCCATTGCCGCCTCTGAGAGCAGGCATATCCAGCAGTCTGTATATAAGGAAGTACGGCGAGGTTGAAATGCCTCATAGAACTTCACGTCAACACTGCCCCGAGCTCGCCGTAATGAATCAATTACAGAGAAGTGGCCATTTCACTCGAATTGTTACTGTACAATCCTACATGGATTCTAGTAACAGCACCGATCTATTACTTGTCTCTCCTTTCAGCCAGGGTTCTCGTTGCAACATTAAAAAGTCAAAATATCGAGAAAGTCTAGAACACGACGGAAGGGTAGTAATGAGGCGAAGTGTTAAAAGCACACAGCTTATTACTGCTTCCTCAACACCAAGAAACATGACGTACCCCATAAATAAGTCCATCGAGAAACACGTCATCTAGTTACCCATTTGCGGGCTGAGGCTTCTGAATTGATATTTCCTGCATGAGGAATAGTTGCCCGATCGAAGTGTGATAGAAGAAGCTTCACTACTAGTGGCTGCTCTTCCACTCCGACCCAGAGCAGCCTCCTCGCTGCGGTAGACCGGGTATCGAGAAGTAATCAATGCCATGGCGCAGCTCACGTCTCCTTTTGCCCCTTGTGCATCAAGCACATCCAAGCATTCGTCTGCTCTTCTCGTCGTGATGTATCGTGCGGAGATCCGCGGGAGGTGTTTGTAATCATCGTAAAGAGGCTGTGCAAAAAGAATAATCAATTCGATTCACAGTCACATATGGTTCTGTCACATCATAGCCGGAAATCCCCTCAACCAATTTCGGCTTGTGGTGGCACGGATCTGGGTGGGTGGGTAGCTACCTAGGCGTAGTTCATGGGAGCTTAATTTACTCAGGGCAGCCAGGGCACCATGACACGATCGACGGCCGAATCTCAGGTGACTCGGGCAAGCTGGACTTGCTGACAAGACCGTAGTGCCGGTCGTCATGATCGTAGTGTAACCGCATAGGAAGCCCAATCCAGCTTAGCTGCGGCAGAACTATGGGTACGCAGCCCATGTCTGCTCTTATGGTGGACTTCGGGGGACAACTAGGGTGTTTGAATGCGCATAAACGTTTGCAAGGGAAACAAACTTGTTCTAGACTCGAAACATCACTGCCCACCCCACTGGGTAGTCGTGCAGAGGCCAGGAGACAGCTAGGGGAGGCAGGGACCAAGCTCGGGAGGGGTGTTTATCGTCCGAACAGCTGGGAGTGATTGACCAAAAGCTCATGGCCCCAGCAAAATCTCCGAGCCTGGCCGACTATGGCCTGAACCGGAACAGGATTGACCCTGACAATTGTGTGCAGGCTCTGTCATCCGAACAGGAGCAGTGTCGTGATTCAGGGGGGGCTCCGTCTGCATAAGAGCTGGTTGGTATACGCAGTATGAACCCCTCATATGTAGCCTATATGATGTACATTAAGCTTCGTCGCTGGTGGATCCTAATCTGTACCTGTCTAGAATCCTCCCTCCCGGATCTGACAGAATCGGCCGTTGAGGGTGTTTGTTTCTGCGAAATCTTGCCCCTGACTCGGAATTAAGGGAGGATGCCAAGGCTTTTCCCTCTCGTTGACACTGCGATCCCCCTGTCCTTTATGCACTTCGCTGCCGCCCGGAGACTTTTACCCCAAACAGGCGAGCACGGGAGATTGACAGCCATACCCTTGTCCGAACACTTTATCTTGCAGATCGATCAGGTACACGAATTTCTAGCTTGCAATAGGGGCACCCGCACATAGGGCACTATGTATCTGGCTGGAGTACGAGGCCTTCGGACCCCTCAACTACGCCGAAGGGCCTCAGCGCCATGCCTGTTCTCTACCACCCGCGGATGGACAGCTACTCCACTCGAGGCTGTGCTCTTCGTCCCAAGTATATAGTTTTTACCTTGTATGCATAAAGACTGAAAGCTCAGATGAAAAGTTCAGACGACGACTGTGGGCCCAACGAAGCAGCATGTTGCGTCACGAACAAGAGATTACTTGGTTGATACAGGCACCGATAGCTTCCTTCCATGGAGACTCCCTGGCAAGGAGGTATCGGTCTACCTAGACAACCTAGACAGATGTCATGTCATTGCGGGTGAAGCAAACATCGGAGATGAAGATTAGAGGAGGGGGTGTTGAGAGATGCTGCCCGAGGAGGAGGAGGTCTGCTTGATGCAGGTTCGATATATAAGAAGGCATTCTGCCTTGCAACTCGTAGATTCATTCGAGCTCACCAAGCTTGACTTCAAGTTTACATTGGCATCTTGTGCTTTCCATTCTTTTTTCTTGAGGCTAGTTGATCTTGCTGACCCTCCGTTCTCTAGGTGTCTAGACACTTCGTTCACTCTCTCTTCATTGCAAACACTCTTTCGATCCCTGGACAGGATTCTTTCAGCAAACTTCATCTACGCAAGACTCACACGCACATCACGATGCACCGCAACGCTGTGGCGCTGCTCTTCTCACAGGGCGCCCTGGGAGGTCTGCTGCATAGGCAGAATGTAGCTCCTGCGCCATCCGTGTCGCCGTTCCCTATAAACGGGACCGTTGCCAACCCTCCCCCCAATGCCACAGCCGGGGGACAGTTCACCACCGAGGTTGTCTATACGACCAACATCTACACGGTGACGTCTTGTGCGTCAGATGTGACAGACTGCCCTGGCCGGACCACCAGCGAGGTCTCTCCCGTTTCGGTTAACACCGTATATGTCACTGCGTCCGGCACGGGTCTTCCGCCAGTCCCTACTGCAAATGTCACGGGAGGTGGACAGTCCCAGCCGCCCCCCTTACCTTCGTTGTCTGGCTCCGACTCAGCTCTGAGCTCCAACTCTCCCGTCACAGATGCCGGACAGGCTTCCTCGGGAATCCCTTCGCTTCCATCTGGCTCCCCTTCGGGACTACCTCCTCTGCCTACCGTCAACGTCACTGGTGGCGGAGGGCCACAAAACCCTGCGGCATCTCCCTCGTCCTCCTCCGGAACGGCGCTTACCTCCAACTCACCCGTTACCGGCAGCGGTGCCCCATCCGGATCCGGCCTCCCTCCGCTGCCATCCGGTCTGCCATCCGGACGGCCCTCCGGGTTGCCCTCTGGCCTTCCTCCCCTGCCCTCTGCGAGTGCAGGTGGTAACGTAACCGGAGGGGCCCAGGTCCCTGGCGGTGCTCAGCCTGGCGGGCCAAACTCGGCACCGCCTCCAGCCAACGGCACTGCTGTTCCCAGCGCTCCTTCGGGTTCGGCCACCGGGCTCCCACCTCTGCCTCCCCTGACCACTGGTTTCCCAGCAGCAGGCGGTGCCGCAGCCCCAACTGGTGGTCTAAGCAGCAACCTGCCTGTGGCCAGCGGCCCACCAGCGCCTTTTGGCAACACTTCGGTCTCTCAGACCACACTGACTGTCGAGGCAACGACAGTCCGTACCGTCATCTCTTGTGCTCCAACCATCACCAGCTGCCCTGCGGCGTCTGATACTGGCGCCATCTCAGCTCTGCCTTCTGGAGCTGTCTCGACTGTGATTGTTACCGACACTATCGCTCAGTACACGACCATTTGCCCCGTCACAGCAGCTTCATCGCTTTCCTCTTCGATCGCGTCGAGCTTCTCTTCAGCCATTACCACAGTCACTGGTATGTTCAATTTAATATTGTTTCCTCTTCAAAGACAAAACGAAATACAAGCAGCGTGACCACCCGGCTCCACTGCCTACCGCATCCCCCACCCTAATGCAACTATTGATTTGATATATGCTAATACCTATCTTCATCAGCGAGTGGAACTGAGTCTGTCTTCATTCCCAGCGCATCCCAATCCAGCAGTAGCACCGTGATTAACGTGCCCACCGTCGTCACTATTACTGTCGGCGGGACTCCTTCGTTGTCGTCTTCGACTGTCCAGGTCACTACGGAGCTGCCTCCCAACAATGCCGGAGTTCCTGGCAGCGGAGATGGATCGTTCGGCTCCACATCTACCCAGGTCACTGTCATCTCTGTCCCTACCACGATTCTTACTACCATCAGCGGCGTGCCTACCACAATCTCCTCAGTCGTTCCAGTCACGAGTGCGCTCGCTATTGGCGGTGGCTCAGGCCAGAACGGCGGCGGTCAGAACGGCGGCGGCTCGAATGGTGGTGGCCAGAATGGTGGCGGCCAGAACGGCGGCGGTGGCTTCGGCGGCGGCGCATCTGCCTCTTCCACCGTGCAGACTGTGATCCCCACAGTCAGTGTTGTCACTGTCACAGTTGAGGGAGGAGGCGAGTCGGCCTCCACGTCCACCGGCCTTCTCACGAGCAGCGTTGTCGTGCCCGTCAGTGGTGAGGCCTCGGCGACTACGGAAGTCAGCCCCGAGTCACCTTCTGCCTCCTCGACAGTGGAGACCGTCCTGCCGACTCAGAGCGTCGTGACGGTGACTGTGGGTGGCAACCAGACCTTGTCGACCTCCACCGGCCAGCTCACTACCACGGTCGTCGTCCCTGCGCCGGTGACCACCCCGCAGGTCACGCAGACCGTCTTTGTGACTGCCACCGGCGGTGGGGGCTCTGGAGCTGGGCAGTGCTCTGCCGTGACCGTTACCCAGACAGTCTGCGCCGTCAATGGCGTCTGCCCTACCGGCGCGTCCAAACTGTAAGAAATTAGCGTCATGGTTCAATGACGCCACGAAAAGACGAGGTGAAATTCATTTCATGGGCTGAGTTGGTGTTTGGGCTTCATTTTCTGCTTTTGAAGAGGCCAGATGGTTTGTTACCGAAAGCCCGGGAGGCTTCACTGTTGTTTTCGAAAATGTTGAGGATTTTCAGCAAGAAAAAGAAAAGAAAAATCTTGTCCATTTGGTTGGGTTGAAGGGTTGCATGGCTGCACATTTGGTTTCAGATTTCATGATATATAGATTGATGACTTTCTCTTCTTTTTGGAGGTGAACAGAGTTTTATGTTTCAGCACGATTTTTGAAGCAATGAAACACAGTGCTGAAGAAACAAAGGCATTCTTGAAAATCGTGACTCATGACTGAATAGTGGCAGTGGTTTTTCCTTTCACAGCCCAGTCTCGTATGGACGTTGAGCGTGCCTTCTCTGCAGCATTACCCCATGCAGCCCGGTCGGAGGTGCAATTTCAATGCCGTGTATAGCCATGCTCCTACTGAAAGCCGATATCGACAAAAATGGTTCTCGTTTGTGTGAGGAAAACGACTTCATCCGCTCACCATGATGTGACGAGACGGATGGAGGCCACGTCTGAGCAATGTATTGCAGAGCTCTCTTATTTTCAAACCTCATATGCGTTCCAAACTCTGCGTTATCCTTTCGTGAATCTTCTACTTCATTTCGAGATGTCTCATGCTCAGCATATCGAAGCCGTCACGGTCTTAATTCTGAACACCTCTAACATGTAATTAGCTCCTGGCGTTTGAGGCGATCAATCTACTTAGACCTCATCTAGCATGTCTAAGATCATAGCTTGTGAATTTGAATACCTGATTTGTGATCCAACATCAACCAATAGCCCATCTCTTGAGAAGTGCACATGAGACCGAAGCTGAATCTGGCTTCAGGAGGAGGCCAAGCGCTAGGATTTGATATGAGCTGATCACGCCTGCTTCTTGACCATCAGCAATACTCCAGCCTCACCGCCTCGGACGAGCTCTTTGCCTTTCTCGACACCAGCCTCGTGCAGAAGCTTCTCCACAGCTCGGCGTATACGTCGGACGACGTCGTCTTCCGTGCCAGCCAAGTCCGGATAAGCCTGCCGCCATCTTGTGACAGGGCTAGCAGTTCCCAGTATCTTTTCCATCGTGTCCAGATCGATTAATATCTGCTTAATCTCGTAGAAAGATTCGTCATTGCCCTCGATGCCCCACTCCTTTCTGAACAGTTTAGTCTCGTCGAAGTCGGACACTGGAGGGCTGACCGTCCATGGAAGACCGATGGTCGAGTACAAGTTTCGAGTCAAGAGGTTTCCCGGCTCGAAGAAAGGTGCGAGGCTTTCCTCCTCGATCTTAGATGTCACGGAGTTGATAGCTGCCGCGTTAGGAACAGAATGGTGGGTTTTAGAGGCATTGGAGCACCACATTGCAACCGATCCGCCTGGCCGGAGGACACGAGCCGCAGTCGTCCAGAACCGAGGCATATCGAACCACTTCACAATCGATGGCCAATATTAGAGACAGGGTGTCAATAGTAGTGTATTGAAAGGCTTACGTGGGCGCATGTAGCTGCGGTGATGAGATCCACGCTCCCATCCGGAACCAAGTCAGGGGAGATATCCTCGGCCGTCGATACTTCGAATTTGACATTATTCGTGATTTGTTCCGAGCTCAGCAAGGATCTTGCAGCGCTGACCATTCCCTGGGAAGGGTCAAGGCCGATCGTATTGTCAAAACTCCGGGCAATGTCGAAGGTCGCCGTTCCAGGGCCGCACCCTATATCCAATGCGGTCTCAAGCCTGCCGCCCGTGGACGTATGATGCGAAATGATAGTCTCGTACAGAGATTGGCCGTACTTCATGCGGTGTCGGGCGTAGCTCTGACCTTGATCAGTCGTGTATGACCGGAAAGTCTTTTCCGGATTTGTCTGATTCGACATCTTCGCGCCCGAGATTGCTGGTTACAAACGGAGGGCGACAAGAACGACAAGAACGACAATCAGAATGGCCTGGTCAGAGCCCTGCTTGATCTAGGACGTCTGAGGTAGCGAGGCTACGATAATGCCAAGACAGTAATGATTTTGTAAAGCATGAAATGCAAGAAGAGGAGTTCGGACGGGACACGGAAATGTGCTGCCTATATGTCAGCTTTGCAGATGCGCTAAACTCCTTCCAGGGCGGTGGTCGGCTCCTTCATCCTGATGCTTTTCAGCCACTTAGACATTTGTACCAAGCAACAGAAGGCTCCACAAACATTTACTCTATGCGTAGGAATCAACTTGTGGCCGCGATACGACCCCTATTGTCTTCAAACCTTGTGATCATGTCAGTGCTTTTCATGCAGGATCTGCATCCTTGCCAAGCGTATGGTCACGTATTCATCTGGCAAGCACAGTTTCTACAGAGAAACGCGCTGAAAGAATGAGATGGTGATGTGGCGGCCTCGAAACTATCTATGTCCTATCCTTGGTTGACCTCATGGTGCGTAAAGCTTCCTTGCCCGTCCGCCGACTGCCCTCTTCTCAGCACAGTAGATATAGCTCCGCTTCTTCAACTCCTCAACTAACTCATCGCCATATCGATTACCGCAGGTGTATCCTCCACGAGAACAAAGGCACACAGCTGGTCTGGAAAAGCTGAATGATTGATGAAATTAGACAAATTGAATTCAATGGCTTTTCTCTATATCCTGTGATAGAGAAGTCGTAGTATCATGTTTAGCAGGTTCCCACCGTGAAACCTTTCATGTGTGACGGCACAGCTCTATAAGACTGCATTGCATTCCAGCAAGCGTTCCCGAGTTCTGATCTTTTGTTTGGATACAGCCCTTGGCCATAGTGCAGTGGTCAAGGTGCTATCTTACGAAGCTGATAGGGGTTCATTAAGAGCCTAAATGAATATTCATCTTCGAGACACTCTCCCCTTCCATGAGGTATCGCGATGCGATCTTGCTGACGCCATTCTTTACCAGCGGCTTCAACCACTCTAGGGTCTATCTCACGCTAATGATGTATCCATGAGGTATTTAGATATTGATTCTGCTGCAGAACTTGTTTGTGTTCGAATTATTTGCACTAGAGGTAGCACCCATAGGTCTCGCAAAATACTTTCTTTCCAATTTGGTAATCATCATTTGCTTTGATGAAGTGCATTTAGAGATGAGCCATCAATATCTCTTTGAAACATCTAAAATAAAATCAAGTATATCTCAGCCCAATAGAATGTTCAGTATTCGGCGCTACAACAAGAGCTGCAGTAATTATCTCGCAAGCAAGGAACTTGTAAGTGATGCTCGGTCCTGTCTCTATGCTCTACTCGTGATGGCCACTGATGAATCAATGGTAGAGGTAGATGAAGTCCTTGATGGCCTATCATGCAGTGGCCGAGGCTTGGCTGTGGAAGAGAGTAGACTTCATAAGAACATGAGCCCACAGAGGAAACAGGACCGTCTGGGCCCAGCAAATGTTCGGGAGACTTTGCAAGCCGAGTGTTTTCGTGCTGCACTAAATTCCTTCCTCAACTTGTCTTCTTACCTCAAAGATAACTAACGAGCACTATAAAGAATGAACACAACAAAGGTTATGATCTCAGCAAAGACACTTACGCTTAAGGTTGGTCTGCATTTGGCGTTCTTTGTATTGCAGAATTTTCCAATATCGATGAAAGTTATCAGCTAATACCAAAACAACCATAGCCTGTCCCTTTTATATTCCATGGAGACCAAAGAACTTCGTTCATATAATGTTGACATCGCCACATACCCGCCAGTCAAGCTGTCATAGCCCACGAGCAAATTAGAGCATAGCAACAGTTATTGAGGTCTAGCAGTTGAAATGGCTTCACTCGCAGGGGCAACCCTTTGGGCCTTTCGCTTTGGCTTAATATTCACATTTTGTCTCTATACATCTGAATTCCCAGGCTTGAAAAACGACACTTATGTACCTAAGTTCATTATCGCTGCCTTATTCATCTTGACTTTTACTCCCACCCATCACTATAAGACAGCCAAGACGGTCATTGCATCGTTCATACGGAATACGGCGATGGCTCTTTTCCTGCCTTCCATAGCGTTTGCGGCGGCTATGTCGGCTCTGATTATTATCGAAGAAATTGTCCCCAGGATTGAGGGTTTTTCTAAGAACCTAAGGGCCCCCAGTACGGAGTTCAGGGTGATCATCTGGATCATTGTCTTGGCAAACTTCATCAAATTGGTTCAATTAAATTCGAGAAGCGAAGATAAAGACCTGCAACAAAGTACACCAACCATACGGAGTGACACAGAGGCAGAAAACCCGGACGAAGAGAAAATTCGTGTCTCTGCCACTGCCGACGCTGTCGACGCTACTGATCCTCAAGCTGCTGTCCTCCAGGTCATTGACGATCAATAAGGCATGATTCTCAGCCTCAGGAGGACGACTTCCAGGACAATTCTTCTGATCGACAGCAGGAGACACTGGTGGGCTCAATGAGAAACACGAGAAACTTTTCAATAATTTCTTCCAAAATGGTACTGGACCTGCGCACCCTAGACCAACATCAAGGCCGTTATTTGGCAACGTCCCCAACAGGCCAAATTCCGCGCATTTTGGAACGCAAAATGACTTCGGAAACAAAGCTATCAATCCGCCGGAAGAATCACAATTCGAATCTTAAGGCGAAGCGAGCAGAATGTGGACCGAGACATGAATGAAGAAGACGTGGACGAAGATAAAAACACGCATGTGCACAGAGACACGAATAGAGACAAAGATGTAGATGAATATGGAGACGAGGACGAAGATCGAATACGAAGACCTTGTATTTTAGAAACTGAGCCGGACTTGATCTTACCAAACGGTAGCTATGGAGATTATGACTAGTTTATTCCCACTGAGTAACATCTTGTTGCTTTTCTGCCATTTATTTTTACCTTCCCAGGTGCATCAAATGCATCGTGATATGATCAGAAGTGAGTTTTCTTGCCGGCCATGATGGTCTGTAGAAAGTCGTTGGAGCAAAACAATAGGCTGATTTGGGTGGATCCAGAAGTATGATCTAAGTAATTAAGCCAAGGCGGAAGAATTTACTCTATCTGCATGGAAAGTCATGCCAGTCATCTTGTCTTACAATGCATTTTCCCATCTCACAATACTCCACAGATCCGCGGGATTTATATTTCCCATCTCAGCATGTCTTCGCATGGCTCATTGGGGCCGTAGTTGATATGATTCCAGTACTCCCACGTTCGGTACGTTCCGCCTTGGTTGCCTCTTGCCTGCTTCTCAGAGTACTCTTCCTCGCTCTTCACAATGTAGTGGTGTAAGACAACTCTGTCTCTAACAGGAGGCCGATGCCACCAATGTTCAATGACATCTCCGTTCTCGATAACAGTGACCGAGTCGTTCAATGTGTTGAAGTCGTGTGGCGAGTCTCGATTCCTGTTGTACAGCGACGGTTTGACCATGCTCTTGATGTGCTCGTTGTCCACTCCTAACTCATCCTCGGCAACCGTATCAAATTTCCTGTCGCTCATGCACTCTGTGTAAGCCCGTCGGGTTGAGGGCTGACGGTGTATCTGCCCATTCGCGGTATGCATCCACCACATTAGACCCACTGCTCCTATTCCCGGATCCTCAAGAAAAGGCTGCAAGATGTCTTGCAGAGTCTCATCAGTCAGTAGACCAATGTATTCGTCCACATCCATGTAGGCGATCCAATCATGGTACTGGCCCCAACGTCGGTTGCATTCATCGTTGAGGAACTCCTGCATCATTCCTCCATGAGCTTGACGCTCTCCCTCATCAAAGCGTGTGAATGTGATTGCTGAGGAGGGAATGCCGTAGTAACCGTCAATGTCGTATGTAGCAAGCGGAGGATGTGAAACATCGTCCATGATGTAAAAGTGCTTGATCCCGATATTGTAATAATGATGAATGAACCACTCGGGCATATCTCGACGCTGATCTCGGACAGAGGAGCAAAACGCAATGCTCATGTTCGTACTTGGCGGTGTCAGATGTTTCGTCGACTTTGTCTTTCCATCAGTCGGGGAAGTTATTGTGGAGGACGAGTCCGGAGGGATCAGGCACCTCATGCGGTCGTAATATTCGTAGAAAGCATCACTGCTGGAGTGGGCAAACAATCCGCTGAAGAAGAGCAAATGAATGACTACTAAGACGGCTGCCACCAGAGCTACATGTCGTATCGTCACGGGTGACTGAAATATCATCATGTATTCGGGTAACAAGAGAATTATGTCGAGTCCTCAAGCCTTGAGTTGTCATGACAACATCGATCAGCGCCGCTAGTCTGCCGATTATATCCTTTCCATCCCTAGTTCGCATTGCAATTCATCGGAATGCCTCATCCCTTGAATAATTGCACGTGGCTGAGACGACTTTCCCCTGAGCTACGTGTGGAGAGACAATTGATCTTCATTGCCAATCGACTGCTTCCCCTTGTGAGCCACCGGAAAACTCCCGCTTGCCGCTTCCCGCACACGGGCTGTATCCCAGATAGACTTGCCATGCAATCAGTATTCAAGGCCATCAACCATCACATTTATTCCCTATAGTCAGTTTTTGATTGTTAGGTAGTGCGCTCATAAGAATTCTTCGGATTACCAAACTTGCTTCTTCGATGCTGTTGCAAAGACGGCGACCTTGAGAAGATCAATTTACTAGCGTGGAATGCCGCTGTTGATAGACCAGCCAGGAATACAATTCCGCGTTGTCTCACTCAGGATCAAGACCACATGGAATTTGACCACATAACTCGCTAATCAGGTACACATACTCACATGCAAAAAACAGCACATTGGCTTTCGCTTCTGGTCCACACCTAATTATCACTCACCTTCTTTCTGTTAATTTCAATACCGGTGTAGAAAAAATGGGAACTGAACGAAAAAGAGGAAAGAAAAAGAGACAAAATATCCATGCAGGAACAATTTCCATTCGTGTGCCATTTAAACTTTGTAGTTCAGAGGGAACGAGTGACTTCCAGCTTAGCATATCTGAGTTCGCACTGGAAATTTTCCTCGATGGAAAAGTGATAGAATCGGAATGTCTATTTGAGCCTAAATCCATTTAAGTCATGACAAAAAGTGGTCTTCCATTTGCCAAGCATGCACATTTAGGCTAATTTGATGGCAGGATAGTCTAGGTGTGAGGAGTCGTATTTCCAACTAACAGCCAATACGGCTCGAGCTAACGACGACATCATCGTACCAGAATGTATTGGTGTCACCGCCGTAAGACTCCCATCCAAAGTAAACACCGGTGATCTTAGGTTTGAAAGAGCTCCTTGTCCACTGGGCTGCGTTGGGATTGGTGACACCCGGCTTTACGGTCAGACCAGCAACGGTGCTATTGTTCAGCCAAGTCTCAATGCTGCCATCGGTGCCCAAATGGTACTCGAAGCACTCCCAGGCGCCGGTGGGAAGGGCAGCGGAAGTCGCAATGCCTTGAGGTGAGAGGTCTGGGAGTGTCGCATCGTCGGACTCTCGGTTGTACATCAGGATCTTGCTCTGGCCACCAATGCGGAGATGCTTATTCGTGCCTTGGGCAGAGTCAGGCATGGTGATGAAAGAGACGTGGGAGTCTGTGAGAGCCTTGGAGGCTTTGCTGCATGGAGAAAAGCGAGAGAGGTTAGCATGAGTCTCCCGTGCAGATATCGTCTTAAAGTGCTGCCGGGGATATCTTACACATAAGACCTGACATAGACATCACCACTAGGAACTTTGGTTGTGCCGAAGAAAATGTGTCCGCAGTAACCACCCGCACCGTCAACTCTGATCGAGTTCTTTCCGCTGTGGGCGGTGGTGCTGTCAAGCGTGACTTTGCCGCCTTGGTTGCAGTCGACCGCGTAGGTGGGCCATGCTGTTTGATCCCATCCGGCCTCGAAATCGTCAGAGACTTGGGCCAATGAAAATGGCAGGAGAGCAAGTGCAAATAGAGCGGCTTGGCGGAACATGGTTGCGGATGGGGATGTTGTGAGTAAGTACGCGATGGTGAAGGTAAGGATATGAGTGACGAGTTGCAGGATACTGGACCCCAAGAAATCAAGAGCAAGCCAAGATATTTATTTGCTTATAGAAATAGCAACCCAAATCTGCTCGCTCCATTGTTGCAGCTGGACCGGGTGTATCGTGGTGTTCCACCCTCCGAACTCTATGTCTAATACTGACTCGGAGATTTCGGCCCATGCTTCCCACGGAGCCAAACGTTCCTTGCGGTAGTCGGAATTAATTTGAAACGCAGCCATCAATCCCGGGAAATTGAACCACTAAAAGCTTGAAAATGGTAGATCACTTATAAACGGGAGAAAGAAATCTAGAATTCACGAGCAGTAACACTCAACAACTTCAATGAGCACATTGCGGCTCAAAAGTCCCCGATCAGTCCAGGCGCGGCTGGGCGGCCCCTGGTCCTTCGAAAGCAGGGGTCTTGAGATATGCATAGTATTTGGCTCTGGGGAATGACTGAGACAACAGCCCATTAGACCAGTGCTTCAGTCGTATTGCAACGTCATCGAGCGTTTTCATATAACTACAGGTGATCTCTTGTCGCATCAGTCCCTTACTTGCTGAAAATTTACAGAGGCCCGGAACCATTGAATTGTGTGCGCCAGTGAAATGACGAGACGCTCGCTCTATGCTACTATATTTCGTCCAGACGCTTATCCGCGCTTTCTATCCCTCACGGATGTGGTAATCGCTATGTTTGACACTGAAGATGGCCATGCCGGCTTTCTCTCCCAATATACGCGACGCATACTACGTGACCTTGCATGGCCCCAACGTAGTTAGCAGAACAAGAACCGGCAAGTTCCGTTTGTGTTGGTAGCAATCTTGCTTCTGCACTCGATGCACATTCCATATACAGCGTTGCTCAGTGTGACTTCACTATAGGCAAGATCCGGCGTACCGGCATATTGGAGAATTCAGTGCTCCTCTTCCGGTAATGGCGAGGCTTATACACGTAGGTGGGTACGAGCGCTTTCTATTGTCCACATGGCAACGGACGATCGCCCGAAACCCAATCTTTGTCGAGTCATTCAGTAATGATGGCGCGATTGGCTTTCTGTGCTTTTTCAATCGCTTTCATGCATCTTGTGGCTTCAACTTAGTATCCGTCTTTGTAGATTGATAGACCATGAGACTGAACATCTTCACGAGTGTGATAAGGTTGAGTTCACCTCTTGGCATCACCTATGTTGACCACAAAATGTACTTACGGCAGCTAGAGTACGAAACAGTGGTCAAAAAGATGGCCTTAAACAACAAAAAAGAACCTGCGCAATGGAGGTATCGCTTGCTGCCAACATCGTCTGTCATAATAATAGAAGCTCAATGGCGAGGTGTTCGGTTGAGGTTGGCTTGCCCATGCCAGCCATTTATATTCCTTCAGGGCTGAGAAGTCACAAAAGACCAATACCGTGAGCATGGTGTGCTTGACAATTTCTGTTTGGTCAACAGCGTCTTCCTCAGCTCAGCCTTTTCAATTCACAGCGTCGATGACAGATGTTTTCAGTCTCAACTGCACAGTTACCAGACCGGCATCCTATCTTCACGCAACAAAAATCGAGACTGGGGGCTCTTAAAATCCGTCCGAGGTTCTATTTTGTTTCCGTATGGCGCTTTCACGGTGCCGACTGGATTTTGCCAGGCGAGGTTCAAGCAGATCACACGGGCAAGGAGATAAGTTCTAACAGCAATTGTTACGGCATCAAGCAAACGGCACGCCTAGGTTTTTGAGGTCTGAATTTGGTCATCAAGGCTTTGAGCCGGTGTTGTCTTGAGCATTGATTGATCACGACAGCATGATGAAAGCCAAGAATGGCGCACCCCATGTTGTTGACACTCGCTGCTCATGTTCAGTTTTTCCAGCATAGAGACTTTGCGTACGCGCATTTTCTAGCCACAATTGCTAAGCCAAGGCTTTTCGCTGCATCGAATTTCTTGTTTTGAAGGTCGACTCGGCTTAACTATCACCGGCGTGAGGGCAGCAAGCCCCCGCCATCCCCTCATGCGACGCGCGAACACTGGTGTGGAGAGTAGTACTCGACATTTACCCGGAGTCCCAACGACGCTGGTTGATGCGGGGAATGACGATCAATGGGACGTATGCCAGATGTTATGGGGGGAAATAAATAGTGTAGTATAAAGATACCATGACGACCGGTTACTTCAATTCTGTCGAGTAAGCAACTCCAGCCACTCAAGATGCCCAGATTCGCAAAGAGCCTATGCTACCTTTTGGTGGCCTCCCTGTCAGGGCTGGCAAAGTCTCAGAACTCCACCTTCAACAATCCAATACTACCAGGCTTCCACCCTGATCCCAGTTGCATATTTGTGCCTGAGTGGGATGACACCTTTTTCTGTGCTTCGTCAAGCTTCAATGCCTTCCCTGGTATTCCGATCCATGCGAGCAAGGACCTTCAAAATTGGAAGTTAATAGGTACAATTCACCCCCTTCTCCCAATCGCCCGAGAGGAGCAGCTAATTGGTCCAGCACATGTTATCAATCGAGAAGAACAGCTCCCAGAGTTGGCCTACACCAATAGATCTACAGCGTACGTACCTAGTTAGCTCGTCTGATTAGGAATGGAACATAGCTAATTCTCACATTCAGTGGAATATGGGCACCGACCATCAGGTACCATGAGGACACCTTCTGGCTCGTGACTACACTTGTTGAAGACGATCGCCTCGCGGATGATCCTACTCGATGGGATAATGTGGGTTCGCTTAAAGTCTCCACCAACGAAAAGTTCATTAATGAGTACCTTGTAGATCATCTTCAAGTCGACTGACCCATATGAGCCTTCATCATGGACCGATGCAGTCCACTTCACTTTCGAGGGCTACGACACCTCGCCATTCTGGGACGACGACGGCAAAGCCTACATCGTCGGTTCGCACGCGTTCAAGGTCTATCCCGCTTTGCAGCTGGCAGAAGCAAACCTCGAGACCGGAGAAGTCGGAAGATGGCAAACCCTATGGAACGGCACGGGGGGTAATGCACCAGAGGGACCTCACCTCTACCGTAAAGATGGGTATTACTACTTGCTGGTTGCGGAAGGTGGCACAGGGATGAATCACATGGTGACGATGGCGCGGTCACAGAGCCTCCTGGGGCCGTACGAGTCCGACGCTGCTAATCCTGAGTTGACCAACGCCAATACGACCAGCTACTTCCAGACGGTTGGCCACGCGGATTTATTTCAGGACCAGTCAGGGAACTGGTGGGGAGTCGCGCTGTCAACCCGTTCTGGTCCAGGCGACAAGTATTATCCAATGGGGCGTGAAACGGTGATGACGGCGGTCACATGGGAGGAAGGAGAATTCCCTATCTGGACAAACATCAGCGGGCAGGAGAGCGGGTGGGCAATGCCTACGGAGAACAAAGAGATAGGAGGTTCGGGCCCGTTCATCAACGAAGGCGACGACATCGACTTTGCCCCAGGATCAGAGCTGCCCGCTCACTTCACCTATTGGAGATATCCTAACCCGGATTCGTTTACTGTTTCTCCGGAAGGCCACCCAAATACCCTCCGACTAAACCCGTCGAAGCTCAATCTGACGGCACTGAATGGGAACTATGCTGGGCCAGACCTCGGCGGCCAGACATTCGTCGGCCGAAGGCAGCAAGACACACTGTTTACGTACCGAGTTGATCTCGACTACTCACCCAGTACTGTCGAAGAAGAGGCCGGCGTGTCAGTGTTCCTGACGCAAAACCATCATCTCGACATCGGGGTGGTATTGCTACCGGCGGACGAGAGCACCACTACTCTGCCCGACACCACCACGACACAGCCGGATGCCTCCACAGAGCCCATCCCCCAGATCCGGTTCCGGGGTATCTCTTCCGTGGATGTTCCCGATCCAGTGATTGCTCCGGTACCAAGCGAGTGGCTAGGCAAAGCGCTCAGTCTCGAAATTAAAGCCATCAATATGACTCACTATTCGTTTTCAGTTGGTCCGGCAGACGCCCAGTCCCTGACACAGACTCTCATCACTCCGTCAAGTGATGCTGTGAGCTGGGGCTTTACAGGTGTTATCCTCGGCATTTACTGCACAAGTAACGGAGGCGATGGGAGCACACCAGCCTACTTTTCGAACTGGCAATACATTCCTCAGGGGCAATATCTGGATTGATGTAGCATTTGATCGATCCGTAGCACGAAATTGAACCGATTGGATTTAAATCAGTAGTGGTGATGCCATTATCGAGTCCATCCATTGTATTGAGTATATGTCTGCACGTGGGCTTGATTTACTTGTTCTAACACATGTCTCTCCATGTTCAGTCCACAGCGTATGAAGGAAAGGTTCCCAAAGCGCGGATAGGGGTAGCTCACGCAAGTCATTGATTGCACTAGATAACACTTGAGCGAATCTGCCGTATTCATACATCATGCTGATGAGAACTCAAATGGCCAGCCAGAAGTCCCTCACGCAGCCTCCTTTCCACTTTTCTGCTTCTCTTCAAGCTCCTTCCGCTTCCATGCGTAGAACATACTCAGGTCCAGCGGGACCTTGTCGCCAAGCCATGTCGCCCTCTGCGTGTGGTTCCGCAGCTCGCTCTCTGATTCCAAGGTGCCCGGCTCATCCGTGTTCGGGTGCACCAGCGCGGAAAGAGGGCCCCTCCAGATGACCAGCCATGGGATGAAGGCCCCGAACTGTGCCGGCGTGAAGAGGTTCACTTCGAACATGGCGTAGGGGTGTGGGCCCACTGGCTTCTCCCAGAAACGGTATATCCGAAGTTCGGGAACTGCGAAACGGGTGTTAGTGTCTTGAGGATTGTGCTGGAGGCCGAGGTTTAGTCTTACACTCCCTCCTTATCCTATCATACAGCTGGCGGGCGTATTCTAGTTGTGATTGCATGTAGTAGACGTGGATGTCACTATGTCTTAAAGTCAGTGGCAAGGCCGGCCATTCCTATTCACACCCGCAACTCACAAACCACCCCTCCTGCCCTTACTCAATGGGTCGATAAAGGTTTCGTATGCATTGCTCAAGGCTCCTCTCTGCGGGTTCTTCAAGCTCTTCCCGTCCTCGGATGTCTCAGTCGGCAGCGGAGGCTCGTTCTCGTAGCCCTCGAGAGGCGATGGGTACGTAAATGCGAATTGGTCGGTCATTATGGCAATCTTGTTGAACCTTGGCTGAGGAGTAATGGACCACAGAATAAGCTTACATGCAGCAGTAGTCTTGCATGAACCTTGTGGATGAGATGCAACTGAGTTTATAAAATAGAGTACCGTAACTTTGTTCAACGATGAAGTGCCCCACATCCCGGCGATTGACCAATGTTTGATCTATGCCCGCGGTTTTGTCAGCACGCTATGTGATTTGAGGTCATTAATAAGCACATTTCGGCATGCTTTGAAACTGCAGCTGTTGCATGAGTCGTCACCGCGAACACAGCTTAGCCGCAATACTGAGGCTCAGTGTCTAGTAGACAACAGGATTCTTGGAAATGCACACTAATTCAATGCGCAGTGTATCTCAGCTCTAAGGTGTCCCCATTGTCTTACCAATTTGACAAACTCGAGTCTTCTAAGCCTTATATAATTGCTTCACGTTGCGCTTGGACTACCGAACGCCAACTGAATCCAGCCACTGCGTGGAATTGAAAAAGAAATTCTCGTAACGGTCGAATATCATGAACTAAATTGTGTCTAAACACCACTTGAACATACGTGTGCAGTAAGGTGTTCCAAAGGAATTATTGATCTCAGACACCATACAACCATCCTAATCCATCGTATCGTACGAAAGAGTCAGCACCTTGAGAGAAAGAAGAAAAAGCCTCACTTGAGTCTACAGTCTCAACTATCAGTGAAGATTGGACATTTACAACTACAATTCAACCACAGTCGCCCACTAGTGAATTCAAATGTGTTGAATTATTCTCGGTATTTTATTCAATCATACCTCGGCTCAACTCCCGCAGTAACACTGCTGTCTCTAGATTCATGGGGCTGAACTTGATGTGACAGTGAATATAGGCGATATCGGTCCATGGCCCCATCAACTCGTCGCTTACCCGAAAGCCACCAACCGGGTGAAGGGAACGGCTACCACGTGGTGAAAGATAAGGTTGAAGATCTCTCCAACAGTTCCTTCATTGCTGGTAGGCCTGCTACTTTCTCTGTCTATACTTGAATAAAGGTCGAGCTAGAGCCTGACCTGCATGTACACTACTCGCGCACATGCAAATTCTGAGTCTACCGCCTTGCTGGTGCGCATGCAGGTCGGCGCAAAGACTACAATTCGGCTGGTCAGACTCTGTGCCATTTCTGCAAACTTGACCCACAGTATATAGCATGACTATGGAGGTGAATTTTCGGAACAAGTCACGCCAGTCATTAAAACCCTCATCGAAGTGTTTTCCAGGGACCACTTAATTACCTCCAACGCCGCATTTGGTGCATGTGTGTCTAAGACCATCGCGCGCGAAGGAAAGGGAGCATCTTCACTGATTTCTCTCCACTTTCCATCACAACAAAATGGCCTTCTACGACGTGGCCATCATCGGCGGAGGACCGGCGGGCCTCACAGCAGCAGCCACGCTGGCCCGCCAACTACACACGGCCGTCGTCTTCGACTCCAAGAAGTACCGCAACGCCATCTCCAAAGAAATGCACATGATCCCCAGCCTCGAGGGCAAAGACCCAGCCGAGTTCCGGCGCGAGGCGCGGGAGGGCATCACATCGAAATACTCGACCATCGAGTTCCAGGACGTGGGCGTAAGCAAGGTCCAAAAGAAGAGCGACGCGCACTTCGTCACGACAGACACGACCGGCAAGACGTGGAAGTCGCGCAAGCTGCTCCTGGCGATCGGGTCGGTGGACGTCTTCCCGCGCATCGAGGGCTTCGACGGGCTCTGGGGCACGCGCATCTTCCACTGCCTGTTCTGCAAGGGCTACGAGGACTCGGGCGCGGCGTCGGCGGGCGTGCTGGCCGCGGCGCCCGTGGCGCTGCCCGCGGACATGATGGTCATGATCGCGGTGCACGCGGCGGCGAACGCGGCGCAGCTGGCGCGGCGCGTGACGCTGTACGCCCACGGGGACAAGGCGCTGGCGGCCGGGCTGAAGGCGGCCGCCAAGAAGCAGGCGGAGTGGACGGTGGAGCCGCGGCGCATCAGGCGCCTCGCGGCGGCGGCGGAGGGCGACGCGGTGACGGTGGAGTTTGAGGACGGGACCGCCAGCAGGACGGAAAAGTTCCTGGTCAACCAGCCGCTGACTGTGCCGGGCGGCCCCTTTGTGGGCCAGCTCGGGCTGGCGACGAGCCCGCTGGGCGACATCCAGGCCGAGCCACCGTTTCACCAGACGAGTGTGCGTGGAGTGTTTGCGGCTGGAGACTGCATGACACCGAACAAGGTGGTGCCGACCGCCATTGCCAGCGGCAGCAATGCGGCGGTTGGGGCTTCTACGCAACTACAGTCCGAGAAGTACGGGTTCAAGTCTGTGGTTTAAGAAGTTGGAGGTGGAGGACGCCCCCAGAATCTGCCTTCAGGGAGTATAAGTCAATATGAGATGATGTAGATTCTGCATTGAAACAGTCTACGGCTTAGGTCATCAGGCTGATAACTGATGTCTGGCTATAAGAGATGGCAATGAGAAATAGATAGACTATGGAAGGACCTGCAAGTCAACACAGAACTAGAAGGGGGCTAGAGGGACACCCGTTCCTGGTCTTGGCCCACTCCAAATCCCAAGTCAAAAGGAAGGCATACGATGATGAGAATATGACAACACATTGTAGAGCACGTCAAATGGCCGGACTGACTGTGACTGGATGGGAAAAGTAGATTCGGTTGTGTAAGGCGAAAATGAATCGTCCCTTGTGCCAGGTAGCACGGCATCATCACAACCCTACTTGGGCGACGTGTTGCATGACATAGGCATGGCGTATCTGGATCAGACCACACTATATACAGGTGCTGGTCGGACCTCCAAGCCAAGAACATGGACAGACACACGGCCGGCAATGCAATGCAATGCCCTGCCCCAGATGTTGACATGGCTACATGCATCAGGCAATATCTGAGGCCATGCAAGCCTGCATCTCACGAAGAGGATAGCAAGCACTAGGAGAGGGCAGTATGCATTTTGTACGGTGTAGAATGATAATAGCCAGAGAGAAATTTGACAAAGGGAGCAATAGGTCCGGGCAAGTCTCGTGCCTCATGCATCATGCATCATAATGATGAGGATAGCATCAATGAGGATTGGGTTGGAGGACTGTAGACTGGGTGACGGATGCGACGGGGGTTCAAAGAAGCAGACGGGCAGGATGATCTCCACATGGGGGCTGCTGTCCAGGTGCATCCACCAGCCTGATCAGGACTAATCCCCCGGGAGTGATTGGTCCCACGTCAAACAGGGGACAGACAAGACTCCGACCTGCAGGTTCGATCCAACACGCTCTACTCTACAGTCGCAGCAAGCCAAGAAGTAATTCTTTCAGCTGATGCGACGTCGACCACATCCGCTGCATCCTCACCGTCTCTTGCACCACATCTGCATGAGGACGACACGGCACAGGTTGATAGACTGAATGATTGACTGCCCACAACCTGCGAGCACTGACAAGAGCCCAACCATCCTCGACCTCCTTTCTCGACCACGACCACGACCTCGACCTCGATCGACCACGGCCTCGTCCCTGTACGCGACAAGCCTGACCCACACTTTCTATACTCTGCTCTCCTCCTCGACCCGACTCGATCCGACCTCGAAGCAGGGGAAACCCACATTTGGTACCCAAACACTGCTGTGTCGCACACATCTGGTCTATTTCCTGCTGCTCGAATAAGGGGTCCAGCAACGTGTCTCGCCGCCCAGTCTACAGGACCAGTCTGCCGCCAGTCTACTGCTGCCAGCTCGCACCGTTTACCGTACCGTCGTCTCCAACCGTACGCTACGCTACGCCTTGCCAAGCTCCCCACTCGACTCCGGCCCAGTGCATGAACCCACGTCTGATGTCAGGCCTTCCAGAAAAGAAAACGACCCAATTGACCGCCTCCCTGTCGCTACCTGCAGATTAATCAACCTCTTTTTCTGTTTCAATCGGCATTTCCAACTGCCAAATCACTTCTCAACACCCATTGGTCTTTGCTCTTGTCTCGTCTCGTCCCGACCAGGCCTGACTCGACCCGACCCTGCCCTGTCCTGCCCTGCCCAACCCGAATCGCAGCCCAAGATGGCCTCCTCGTCGGCGGCAGACGCCTCTACTTCAGCAGATGAACCGCCACCCAGGCCTCCAGTCGTACCCCCAGGTCTCGGTAGACTCTCCTCTGCCGTCTCCATCAACGAGATGCAGCGCCCGCGGAAACTCAAACTTCTCGTCGCCGCCAACGGGCCTAAGGACGTCGCTTGGGCCCAGACTCTGGCAGTCAGGCTCTCCAAGGAATCCCAGATTGTCGTACGCGCCATTGTCGACGACATGACACACCGGCTCGCGCAAGAGATTGTTTGCTATCAGAACCGATCCTTCAACACCAAGGGTGATGGATGCTCGAGAGAGATTGACGACCTCCACTACCGCGCCTTCGAGCTGGTCGAGTGGGCAGATCTGCTGGTTCTGGCCCCTATCGACGCCGACAACCTGGCCAAGATGATGAGTGGCATCGCAGACACTCTCCTACTCGAGGTATTGCGCAGCTGGGACGCGTCAAAGAGGATTCTCATGGTGCCCGGCATGTCCACACATATGTGGGAGAATCCAGTTACCAGGAAACAGATGGGCAAGCTTCACCGGAAATGGCAATGGATCAGGGTGCTCCAACCAATACTATGGTCCTACGATGGGCCCGAGCATCACGGCGTGCCAAAGAGGGTCGCCAAATGGGGCGCCTTGAATGAGCTCGTCACCATCATCAAGAACCAAGCCGACCTCCTGTCCTTGGGCCACGACGTCGATGCCGCTACTCAGGGACTCGTTGCCAAGAATAGCAAACAATCGAGCGCCACACTGCCGGCCGAGCTATGGAGCATCATCTTCGAGCACACCGGCGACTGGGAACTCGCCCAGGCCTGCGGCGTCTATACCAACCTCCCAGTGCCTACACACCTGGGCTGGCGCCTAGAGCCGCAATATCCAAATGATCCCCTCTCGATATATCAGCATGAGCTCGAGTGGACCATCCTGAGCGCGAGCTCTGACGCCATCTGCAAGAAGCTGTCCGAGGCGCCCGACTCCTTCCACGAGCTCAGTGCCCTGGCCATTAAACTCATCTTCAAATTTACCTTGACCGATGTCCTCAGCTACATCGAAGCCAATTGCCCCCACATGTTCAAGTGCTTTGATGGCAAGACGATCCCCACCAAGGCTTCCGCCTACTACGGCCGCATCGAGATCCTCGACTGGTGGGCCCGCAGCCCGTCCTTCCTCCAGAAACAATACGACAACGAGGCCGTCGACGTCGCGAGCCAGAACGGCTACGTCCACGTCCTAGAATGGTGGCGGCGCTCCGGCCTGCCCCTCAAATACACCGCCGCCGCCCTGGAACAGGCCTCGGCGAGGGGCTACATCCACGTGCTCGAGTGGTGGCGCGAGGCCTACCTGCAGAACCCGTCGGACATCGTGCTCAAGCCGGGCAAGTCGATCCTGGCGGCGGCGCAGTACGGGCAGCTGGAGGCGATCCGGTGGTGGGACGGGTCGGGCATCACGCTCGGCCACGAGGAGCAGGTGTGCAAGGTGGCGTCGCGGTACGGGCGCGTGGCGGTGCTGGAGCTGTGGCGGGGGCTCAAGGGCGACGACAAGCTCAGCTTCGACTGCTCCATCCTCACGGAGCCGACGCTGTACTCGCACGTCGCCGTGCTCGACTGGTGGCTGCGCTACGCCCACGCCGACCTGCCCGGCATGGACGGCCGCCGCGCCAAGAGGGTCGAGTACCGCATGATGGACATCGAGGAGTCGCTCGAGGACGCCCTCGGCGACCAGACCGAGGTCCGCCGCTGGTGGGCCGAGAACGGCCTCAACCTCGGCATCGGCACCACGGCGTGGATGAAGGCGAGGGAGCTCTAGATTTGCTCGCGTGTTTTTTGTGTGTTTTTGTATATATCTTTGTTTCGGTCGGCGTAACACCGGAGCTGGCCCTTAGGTTGCTTTTGGCTGGGTGGACATTGGGTTGGGAAATGGTACGGGGCCTGCATCTGCATTCATAGCAAGGCGTCTTAGGTAGATATCAAAATTGAACCATGATCGTATATTTACGGCATGCCCTTGATCATGTCAGGTACACGGCCACTATTTACCAAGCGCTGTGGGTGTTGTCACATCCCCAGGACTAGTGTTTATCGTTTTGCCTGGGATTAGAGCAGGTCCCCGCGGTGTCTCAAAGCCTACGAGAAGCTTGAAGCAAGCAAAGTAAAGCACAAAGCTGGCTGTAACCAAATCCTGGAGCATGTAAGGCTAGCTTGGCAGTGCCTAGAAACCGAGCCGACCTCGTCGACAATCACACCTGTCGAACCCGGCCACACATAAATCCTCTCCTCCTAACCGGTTGAGTTTGACGTGCAGCGCACAAGAAACTTGGCCACGGCGACTCATCTCCTAGTCTCCACCATAGTGCGGTCGACCAATAGCCCGGCCAGTCCTCATCGTTACCCACCAGAGCGGAGAGAGCTGACTTGAGCATGGACAGAGAGGCCATTCAGCTGGTTTGACACAGGTCATTGTAACGTTGAAATCTCACGGAGTGGCCGGGCACCGCGAAACCAGGCACTCGGACAGCTACATTGGCGCCATGAAAGCCCACGGAGAACTGCCAGAGTGCGTAGAAGCATTTTCTGGTCAAGCGTTGACCAAGGCTAGAAGTTGGGGCCTCAAGCCTTCCACCCGACTGCACTTCGTGGGCGGAGGTGGTAGGCTGGAATGATTGGGTGACTCGGGCCGTTGGTACGTGATCTCTCGGTTGTGGGGTGGGGTCTGGCATTTCCGCCAGCTGTTCCAGATCTGTTACCGGAGAGCCACGATATTGGCATCCGCAGGCATCTTTTGGGCGACCTGGCACGCCGACCCTCGAGAAAAGGGCGTGTTGCAGTAGCGGGCTGCTTTGCAAGAGCGCATCGCCTTATAACCGGCCCGACTCCTCTTCAAGCATCACGCTGGGGTAACCGTTCACTGAAACTTGGATGGATTGCTGGGTATCAGCTTCCGCAGGACCTCGAGCTGCCTGGCCTGGGCCCTGGTCCTGATGTCCACCACGTCGCGCTTGTCGCGCCGGTGCAATCCGTTAGAGAAAACGACGGTGTAGTCCGGGACCGTTTCGCCCGGCGCAATAGTCGTGGATGGAGAGAGCGTACAGTACTGCGAGCTCGGGGTCAGCTATAGTGATGCCAATGCAAGCATTGTTCGCGTGGCGACAGTGCATGACATAAAGGGAGCACATAGAATACCTTCCCAACAACCGCACCGCTCCCAATTCGGCTGCCCACTCCAACGATCGTGCCCTCTCCAATGACCGTACCGCCGGCCTCGATCGTCGACCCGACCTCGACGGTACAATAGTCCATTATCGTTACCGCAGTCCCGCTCCCCTTGCCGGCCCCTCTGTCCCCTGCAGGGAGCACGCCAACGTGTGTCCGCTCATGCACCACGCACCGCTTGCCGATGTCGACGCCGCCTCCCAGGGACTCGATCTTGGCGCGCGGGTGGACGAGGCTCTCGGTTCGCAGCTGGATGGTGTGGGCACCGGTGAGGATGGCCGAGTCGGAGATGACGAGGGAGCTGGAGAAGCGGACGGGGGCCTTCGGGCCGGCCTGGGCGACGGGCGGGAGGATGGAGTGGCGCTTCGAGGAGGATGAGGACATCTTGGCCCGAGTGTCAGGTACGCTCGTCGGACTTATCGTGAAGACTGCCTGTCTTTCTGTGTCAGATCGCAATCTTGTGGCAAGCTGGCCTGTCCTGATGCTGCTATCGCGTCGCAAGCAGGATGGGCATCGCTGTCGATGTTGATGTTTATGTTGACCTCGGGGCTAGTCGTCGGAGTGACGGCTGGGTGCCCGTAGCGGCAGAAGAATCCGGTACAGGATCCGGGCACAAGAGTCGGACACTGCTTAGGAGACAGGCAGGCAGCTCCTTGCCGGACGGTTCTGCCTCCGTGGTGGTTGTGGTGGCAGCGGTGGTCGGTCGAAGGCTGCGTGAAGAGGCCGAAAGCCAAAAAGTCAATGAGGTCAGGCCGAGGAAGCTCGTTGCCACCCCTGCTCGCGGTGCACTAACAGGAACGGAGCTCTGTGCACGCAGCACCAGGAGCGATGGCCCTTCCCGTCTGTTATCGCCCCAGATCGCAGAGCCTCACCAGACCTGTCTGAGCCAATCAACGCATATTCCATTCTAAGCGTCCCCAAGTTTCAATTGCCCTTGCACTTCGCATCCCGACCACGACAACGACGACTTTCTGCTGCCAATTGGCGTCCCCAACACCGCTCGACCGAGCACCGACACACGCCTCGTTCCCACGATGTTATCACGAACGACAGCACCAACAGCAAAGTCCTCCGCCCAGGCCCTGTCCAGGGCGGTGGCACCCGCCGCAGCAACAGCAGGAGTGGCGGCCAGCGGCACACACCAGCACTCCCCTCGAGGCTTCGCGACCGTTCAAGATGGCAACCCTGTGAGGCACTACGGTGGCCTCAAGGACCAGGACCGCATTTTCCAGAACCTCTACGGCCGATATCCTCCCGACCTGAAGCACGCAAAGAAGATGGGCGACTGGCACAAGACGAAGGAGATCGTACTCAAGGGCCACGACTGGATCATCGGTGAGATCAAGGCCTCTGGCCTACGGGGGAGAGGAGGTGCTGGCTTCCCTTCAGGGTTGAAATGGGTACGTTGAGGTCTTTTGTATCAGCCAGATGACTGGTGCTAAATGCCTATGGACACGCGCTGATGACAGCACCCGACCAACAGTCTTTCATGAACCCCAAGGGCTGGGAGAACGACAAGAAGCCCCGCTACCTCGTCGTCAACGCCGACGAAGGCGAGCCCGGAACCTGCAAGGACCGCGAGATTATGCGCAAGGACCCCCACAAGCTCGTCGAAGGCTGCCTCATCGCCGGCCGCGCCATGAACGCCACCGCCGCCTACATCTACATCCGCGGCGAGTTTGTCTACGAAGCCGCCATTCTGCAGGAGGCCATCAACGAGGCCTACGCAGATGGCCTGATCGGAAAGAACGCATGTGGCTCCGGCTACGACTTCGACGTCTACGTCCACCGTGGCGCCGGTGCCTACGTCTGTGGTGAGGAGACAAGTCTGATCGAGTCGCTCGAGGGCAAGCCCGGAAAGCCGAGGCTGAAGCCTCCTTTCCCCGCCGCCATCGGTCTTTTCGGCTGCGCGTCGACTGTCACCAACGTCGAGACTGTCGCTGTCGCGCCCACGATCTGCCGTCGAGGCGGTAGCTGGTTCGCCGGCTTCGGCCGTGAGCGGAACCAGGGCACCAAGCTGTACTGCATCAGCGGCCACGTCAACAACCCCGTCACCGTCGAGGAGGAGATGAGCATCCCGCTGCGGGAGCTGATTGACAAGCACTGCGGTGGTGTGCGGGGCGGCTGGGACAACCTGCTGGCCGTCATCCCCGGTGGCTCGTCCACGCCCGTGCTGCCCAAGCACGTGTGTGACAACCAACTAATGGACTTCGACGCTCTCAAGGACAGCCAGTCTGGTCTGGGCACCGCGGCCGTCATCGTCATGGACAAGAGTACTGACATTGTCCGCGCCATCGCCCGCTTGTCCCACTTCTACCGCCACGAGTCGTGCGGCCAGTGCACACCATGTCGTGAGGGCAGCAAGTGGACCGAGCAGATCATGAGCAGATTCGAGAAGGGCCAGGGCCGCTTGCGCGAGATCGACATGATCCAGGAGCTGACCAAGCAGGTCGAGGGCCACACCATCTGCGGTATGTATCCACCCCTCGTCCCTTCACTCATTTCTATGTGGCACGCAGCTGACAATCATCATTCTAGCTCTCGGCGAGGCTTTTGCATGGCCCATCCAGGGTCTTATCCGACACTTCCGACCCGAGCTGGAGAGGCGTATGCAGGACTTTGCACAGAAGTCCGGCGGCGCGGCTCTGGGGGGTGGCTGGGCACATGACACGAGGGCCAAGGGCGGACTTGTTGCCCCAGGCCAGTAAAAGGAATGAGGCGAAAGGAGGTTGCGTGTTAAGAGATGGTTCGCAGGTAGCGGCGTACGGTGGTCTGAAAGGACATAAACAAGAAATTTTAAATCCGACTTTGTACATTGTCCCTACGTCAGCAGCAGTAGTAGACCTTCCATTGGGAATGTAATGTACTTGTATCCGATGCTGGCAAAACATGGATTGCCTCTGATGGTTTACGACTCTAGCCTAGAGCCTCTTTCTCTCATTGGTAAGCTCGTGTCGGGGCTATGACTTTTCATGTGAAGCCTGGTTTGGTGATGATGTGTGCTGGGAAGTGGACACTGCGTATATCCGAATCTTGATTGATGATTACGGCACAGGAAATAACTACGGGCACAGACCCATCTTAGAATACCGCTCCTTTTCCTTTCAGGATCTTCTGATACTCATGGCAGACTCGTCTGTGACCGGACCAGGCCAAGGCCACTACTTCGTGCCTATTATCCTAAGGCAACAAGCCAGCTTTCGCCGCTAAAGACAACTTCCATAGTCTCCAGGGTAGCCATAAGAGCTGGGAAGCACAAAGTAGTCTTCCTTCGAACAGTCTCCGTAACCAACGTTGATGTTGGTCCCGTTTCCGATGAAAACCTGCCCGACTTTTTATCAGCATCTTCCTGCGCACATGTACCCCCAATGGAGGGACAGAAGGGGCTCATTTTACCTGGCCCGAGAACTGGCTGTGAGTGCCCTTGGTCTGGCTAAAGAGACAGCAGCCCTGGAAGTCGAACAGCTGGTGGCCGTTGGAGATGATGGCCGCCGTCGCGGCCAGGTCCCAGGCGCGGGCTGTGACCGGGTACGGGTTGTCGTTGCACCACTGCAATCATCATGTCAATAAAAAACCGATCAGAAGTTCGCCATGATTGAGGATGTTGGGAAGTCCGAACTTACGTATACGGCAGTGTGCAGCGGGTGTCCGTCGCTCTCGGCACAGGCGAGGCGCTGGCACACGGGCTGGCCCTCGCTCTTGGTGCCTGCGATGGTCCAGGTGGCTGTCTCGTGGTTGCTCCCGCCGGGGGCGCCGACGCGGGCAAGCGCCTGGTACACTTCTGAGTCTATATGAGCACTGTCAGATATCGTCTGCGCCCGGGTCATGATGTGGTGTGCCACGAGGGGCCCAGTCCACTCACATGAGCCAGTGGCGAACGTCGCGCAGAACCAGTGCGTCTCCCCGAACGGGCTGTCGCTGAGGCTCATCTCCTGGTTGACCTGGTCGCGGCCGGCGATGACCGCCCTCGTCTTGGAGTAGTAGGATCGGTTCGCCGTCACGACCACCTCGGTCTCGTTGAACGCCGGTGGGTTTTCGCTCATGAATGGGTTCTCGGGCACGTAGTTTGCTGCGGCGGCGGGGTCGAGCGCGAAGATCTGCTGCTCGACGGAGTAGGCGTCGCCATAGAGGGTGACGGTTCCGTGCCCGGCGACTTCACCGGTCCAGCTCAGCTCAGTTGTGGTGGTGGTGGTGTCGCTGGTAGGGACGGCGGCGCCCAGGAGGGCAAACAAGGCCTGGAGTGGTATGTTAGAGTCGGTGGGTGACGGCCGTCTCTGGAGGCACCGTTGTCATCTGCTACTTACAATGATGAGGAAGAACAGCATCTTCGAAGGTTCTTTGTGTCGTTGCGGTCGGTGCTGAGTTAAGGTAAGTTGTTGGTAAGCCGTTGCACCTTGTTTCTGTTGATGGTCTGGTGAGGGATCGAGAGTGTTCGCTTCTTGAGACAGGAAAGATACATATACTAAAAGGCTCTGTCAGTGAAGAGTGTACTGATGTAGCATGGAATTGAATCCATATGCATTGAATTATATGGCACATGTTTCTGTCAAGTGCATTCAATACCCACGCATTCACATCGATCTGACTTGCTGCTGATCAACAAGTCATAGAAACTAATTGAATAGCAACTGTTGGAACCAGCTTACACTCTGGTCCCAAGTGAAGTCTAGACCGGATCAGTATTTAATCTGACCTCTTTCCATCGTCAGCGGATCCCAACGGAGACTTCGAGCTTTCCTTGCAGAAAGAACACTACCATTCCATACACCTTCTGAAGACTTCTTCTCTCATCACTGTCAAGATGATTTTCGTCATTTTCTCCCTGGTCGTCTTCTTCTCCGTTAGCTTCGGGCTGACTCAAGATGGCCTTGGCCCAGACATCGTGTTGCCGCCCTACATCACGGTCACCTGCACCGGCAACGACCTTGATGTTGACGGCCGCATCTCTACCATGGCAAGGCTGATGGACTGGTGCTATTGCGGCAACACCGTGAACCCGGGCAACCTCAAGTACGCCGGCATGTCTGTCCACGAGGACTCTGCCAACGTTGTCAATCGCAAGCTAATGCGGACCTGGGTCTGCAGGTACGTCTTCTCCAATTGCCCTCTTCAACATCCAGGCACATGCTTATTTCAACAATCTGACAGCAAATACCGCAACGATCCCTGCGATGACTTTGACCAGTGGTACACTGCCCTGGGCAACGTCACCAGCAAGTGTGACAACAAGACCGGATTCTACTATGACTCCCAGTTGGGAATGGCCTGGTACGTTTGAATCTGCCTCCACACTGGCAAACATGGGCCTCACTTGCCATGATGGAATGCTAATGTGCGGGCTACGGGCTAGGGGTTTCGAGACCAATGACCAGACTGCGTACTGCGACAACGTCCCGTGGACCTGAGGGAGGCGAGTAGTCGAATGTCAGGCAGTACATGATGCTGTGTTTATCTGTCATGGTCGCTCATACAAGCAGAATAGCGTGGCCTTGGAGCATACTAGAAGTATGAAGCACTGAAGCTATCTGCGAATCAATACCAAATGGTGGAAACATCTCCTTCTGATCCCGTGATGCCAGTGCAATGATCACCTCGGGCTGGACCCCCTGGGTAAGCAAAGTTGATACAAATCGCGGAAACAGCAACGCCTTTGGTCAATCACCTGGCAAATTCCGCTGTAGTGTCTGAGCATCTGACAGTCCTTCAACAAGAAACGTGAAAGGATGGGCTTCAGCCCTCGTTTGCAAATATTAAATCACGTTCTGGTAGACATAGCTCGTGATGTACAAAGCTGTTATTTCCTGTAATTGTACTTGAGACACTAGAATTGCTGCCCATCCTCTTTGTTGAGACAGTTCTGGCCAGATGTGACATGGTGGAAGAGAAACCAGCATCAGCTAGTATATCATATCATTGCATCGGAAATTGCTTAGAGAGGGATCTTGGCGAGTGATGTCCTCAGCAGATCAAATTTCATGTGACAGTTGTTTATCTCCTGCCTAACGATGACAAAATGCACCTCAAGGGGCCTATGTCTGTGGTTTACACAGGTTTCCCGACACTGCATCCTCTAAACAACATGAAATTGTTTGTCCATGCCGCTCATACATCACACCCTCCATCTCACTCCTTCCGGGCTGGGCCTTCGGCAGCCTGCAGCGTCAGCCCGTCCTCTCCGGGAGGCTTCGCCGAATCTAAATCCCGAGAAGTGCTGCCAATGTTACCTGCGATGATATTACCCTGTGAGTCCATGCAGCCGCTGAATAACAAGTTAGTAATTTGTCTTTAATATACCTGAGTTTCAGCTGGGGACGAAGGAATGATGGGGAAAGTGGGAAGACAAACTAATTGTAGGCCCAGTGCTTCTTTGGCTCGCTCGCGGGAACGCACTCGCACCACTCTTTGCACCTATCCCGTGATTCATTAGATCTCATGCTTGAAGCAGAATGGAGAGATATGAGGCTCACCAATTAACCTTGTCCTGTAGCTCATCCACATATTGATTTTCTGTAAAGGGTTCACGACTCTGGACCTTGGTTCCTGTAGCACCCCATGGTCAGCCACAGAGGCACCATGGGAAAAGCAAAAAGCACATGGAAGCTACTTACCATCAATCTTGCAAGTAAAGTATTGCGCGCACCAAGCAGAACTCATGAATGTGCCGGGCATGCCAGGTACGAAGCCAGTGTTCTTACGGTCCAAGGCGCACTTAATCTGGAGCCGCTTGAGAATATGAGAGATGGCCATGGCCTGACGATCAGCCAGCTCCTTGCGAGCGGCGAGTTTGTTGTTGTGGCCCATGTCCATGTAGCCGCCCGGGAGGATGGCTGGATCGGCCACCGCAGCAGGAGCCATGAGGCCCAGGAGCATCATGAAAACGATGAGGAGAGGATTCATCTTAGTTGATGTGAAGATACGAAGTGAATGATCGACAGGGTAGCTGGTAAAAAGGAGACCGGGAATGGTTGGCTCTGGATTTTGGGTACTTGATATGCTTAGGTAGTCTTGACTTGTGTCTTGTTGCGCGTGTGGCCAAAGATGGTATTCGGCTTTTTGGGTTGATCAAGTTCTTGACCTTGAGCTGATGTGGAAGGAAGGAAAGGTAGAATATTTAAGTGTTGCCATGCCCACTCTTAAATAGTTTCCAGGAGAGCTGTCACTATTCACCCATGAACTCATTGAATGCCACCTACAAATTCACTGTCTCCCTATTCAATTTCTCCATATTCACATAGCTTTCCAACCACCCTACTATGCACTACACCATTGCTTCCTTTGGGTCCCCAGTCACAGGACAGCATTGTGAAAAGATGCTCAGCAGTGTATTATCAGCAATTCCAGCTTGTAAAGTTAGGCTGTCTTGTCTCTAGCATATGAAGAAGTGAAATATCATTGAAGATTGCAGGTGGTTCAGGGACGATTGTACACTCTTGTTATCCGGATGGTTATCTGAAAGGAATATTTCCTAGGATCTGGTATGTCATGCATGGTGCAGTGAACATGAAAATCAATGAACAGGATACACATTAATCAGTAGTCACAACAGTGGCATCACAAAGCTGAATAGCTTGGAAGCTTTGAAATTATACCTTGGGTATGGAATAACCGCAATTAGACAACAGGATTACCCATATAATGTCTTGTCAGGAGATTGGCTACAAGGAATAATGTTAATCATCATGGTATGTCCTGCATGTTGAATCGCAGGTGCTCATATAGGCAAATGATAAATTAAAGGAATCAATTCCTGGATTCAGCTCCTGACACAGCACACCTTCTACGGTGGGTTGTCCACTGGCAAAAGATTTCTTTGCATATCACCTTCCCCGACTTCCATGCCAGGATCACCAACACCTCAAGGCAGTCACCAACACTTAAGGCAATTGGGTGGATCATTGGCGGCAAGCTGCTGCAGGACAACCAACAGCATCATGACAGCCAATGTGCGAAGGGAGCACACGTGCACCGCCTCCACAGCGGAGGCTGAGACTCTGTCAGACTTTTCTGTCAAGAACCCGAAGTCTTGCTCCTGGCTGATGTTGGTCATTAGCGAATTCAGCTTGCCGCTGCCTCAACGAATATATATACCTGCAACCTTCTCTTCTTGACTGCAAGGTATTTTTCCCAGCCTTCTCTCTTTGGTTCCTCATGCGTCACGTCAAATCAATCCTTGTGTACCCGAATTACACGACATAATTATATTGTGACGCGATACTTCCTACGAACGCGAGAATAGAGCCCCCATCTACCATTGACAAGCATAAAAACGCGAAGACGCGTTCAAAATTGCAGAACACAATGAAGCGCACATTCACTCTGGCCACCATCCTCTCTGCCGCCATCTTCAGCAGCGTGACTCAAGGCGCCCCCACCAGTCATCTCCAGCAGCCTCTGGACAGCACAATACTACTCCAGAGACGTAACGACTGCCCACCATGCTGGGACAGTACGAAACAAGGGTGCAAACCCAAGTCATACATCACAAAACAAGCCTCGGATGATCAGACATCCCTATACTACACATGCTCTCCTGAGGACCGACTTACAACATACTACACCTGCGACGGGGGCTGTTCTGGGGATGGTGTATGCAACAATGGGCAGTTGTATGGATATTACGCGTATGAGTTTGTCGTACCAGTGGGTGAACAGACAGTGTGTGCTTGGACTGGGTGAGACTCTGGGATGACACGAAGGGGTCATGCGGTCGATGAAAGGTCAATGGTTGTTGATAGACTTGGAGTACATTGCCTCAGAAGCGTCTGGAGGTTTTTGTTGCATACAGAAGCGTAATTTTATGTAAGATTGTTAGCCCTCCTATAATTAATTGATCTATATGTGTGTTGCTTCCTTCAGCCCATGAATGCCTTGAGATTGACGCCAGAACAGACTCTTCAAGGCCATTCAACCATCATGCCTCCATACAGCTCATCCTCACGCATCATGGAAAATTTTACAACTAAATTGGGGATTTGGAATCACTTGAATAATTTGAAGATACCTGGCTAGGCATGGCTTTGTTGTGTAGTGCGATATTCAGGCACAATTTGAGATCCTTGTTAGCCTGAATGGCGGTTTAGATGACTGGGCTGCCTGCTGATCTGAAGTAGTTTACGAGGCACTGGGGACTGCGCGAAATCGCCTTAAAGTGGATCGATTCTTGCCATGCTTCTAGACCACATGTCCATGATCTAGGGACGATAAAAGCCATAAAAAACAAGAAAAGAAGCTGGTGTGGTGGCATGGAAGGCGGTTCGCTTGGGGGCTGAGTAAAGTTGTGGGCCGACAGAGAGGCCGCGCTTATTCCATCCCGAGTGCCGACTGCACCCTCTGCTTGAACCAGATTGTCACCTTCATCACTCTCCCATCAAACGCACCGCCATACTTACAGCTTTGCATTTGATCAGAAGCCAGCTGAAACAACCGCATCGACCTGGGAGTTTATTCCGATGACCGGCCGCCTTCAATTGGCTGCGTGAGACTGCACAAAAGCTAGGGACTGGCGCGGGGATTCGCAGAGGAGACATCGCTGGACGATACCATGGCGCCGTCTACGCTTGAGCAGTTCATCCGCTTCGGCACCGATGCTGGTAAGTCTCGACGCTTTTATCTCACAAATCAAAACCCCTACGGATCATAGTTCCTCGACATGTGCGCGTGTTGTGTGCATTAGATCTGTCAGGGTCCGTCTTGTCCTCGTGCCAATCGGGTGTGGAGGGCTTCACTCTGCGAAACACCGGATCGAAGACGCTGCGACTGACACAGGCGACGAGCATTTCCATCCACCATTGTCAACAGAAGCTGCACATATGTACAGCTTAACAGCGCATATACCTTCTTATTCTGGATGGCCTGCGCCCAGATGCTAATATTCCGACTTGTGCAGCGGCGATAGAGCGAATACTGCGGATGGCACAGTCCATAGTCATGGTCGTCATCTCATATCCTCTACTCTTGGATGGCTTCACCCAGCTCGTGGTGCTCGGGAACCAACATATCTGGACGGACCCAAGGGCCACGGGCGTTGTCGTGCTCAATGATTTGAAAGGACATTTGGGCCTTGCCCGGCGCTTCTTCCGGATGTTCCGCTTCCTCGAGTCCTTCTATGCGGCGCATCAGCTATACACGTCGCTTTACTCCCAACCAACAGCACCAACATCGGCGGCAGCGACTCATGATTCTCAATCTGGTTCTAGCGTCTCGGATGCCAACGGTTCAGACAAGCATTCGGATCCAGCTGCCCAACCACCACAGACAAAGGCAACCTCGCAAGCCCCCCACCAACACCACCCCAACTGCCGGCACAGGCGCAAGGCCGGCCCCCCAGCCGAGGCATGGCTTGACATCTTTGGGCGGACCTTCAATGGCATGTATCTGCTCCTCGAGTCCATGACCCTCGTCGACGCCCTCCAGGTACCAGCCTTCTCCCTCTGGGGCCCTCACTGGTTTCCTGTTCTCTTCGTAGAAGGGCAGCGCTTCTGGTTCTTCGGGCTTGTCTGCGGGGTGGCCAGCGGGCTGATCAAGATCGTCAAGCTGCTCGCGTACGCACCCGTGCCGCCGACGGGCGAGGGGTATGGCACCGGGGAGAAGAAGGACGAGAGCGAGATGGCGGACTGGGAGAAGGAGAGGGAGAGGCTGAGGAAGATCATGTGGATCAGGAAGGAGCAGAGGAAGCTGTGGAAGTCGAACATCAAGGTCAAGTCCAAGGGGCTGGTGAGGAAATGCGTGGCGGACCTGCTGGACACGATCGTCCCTGGGAGCATAGTGGGCTGGTGGAAGGTCGACCAGGGAACGGCGGGGGTGATCCTGATCATTACGACGTATCTCACAGGCTGTGAGGTGTGGGAGAGGTGTGGAAGGGAGGTGTCAAGCCGTTGAAGTATGTGACTCTATTAGAAGAGAATTGTTATGGCATGATATGAGCAAGAGGCAGACGGTGGACATGGTCCGTATACATTAGATGGCGCTGAAAAGCTTAGAACTCAGTGTCTGCTGCTTCATTCCGAGCAACTTTACCTATTGTCCATCACCTGTGTCCACAGCAGACTTGGCTGTTAGGCAATTTGAAAATCCTGTTAAGTGAGTGCCACTGAAGTGTGCAACCATTGAGTTGATGGAATAAAACATGTCCTGAACATACTATATCGATATTGCTCGAGTTCGGTCTCAGGTTCTAAGATGGATGCTCAGACTTGGGCCGGGGTCTGGCTTGCGGGCGCTAAAAGCCGAGGGTGCCCAGATGTGGTCACTGGCGTTGGTCTCAGTCTTATCGGGTCTATCGATAAGTCCACAATTTTTTTTTCTGGAGCGGGAAGTCCTTCCCTGATCTTCACTTGCGCCGGCTGCAAAATTTCCTCCAGCCTCTAAAACAAAGCAAACGTGGTGCTCGAGAACCCTTCACTCTCTCCAACACTCGCAGCGACTGTGCCATTGATGTCGTCTGGTCCACCAGCGTGGCTCTTCTCAAACAACAACACCCGATCCACCGAAGTGCCGACGGCCTCCTCGTCCACCAACAACAACACAGCCATGGCAGCTAAATCCAAAGACAAGTCTGCCGACAAGAAGAAGGTCACCAAGCCCAGCAAGAAGGCACAGAAGGATTCCGTTCCTGCCCCACCTGCGCAGCTGCTGGACCTTGTGGAGGGCTTCCTCTCCTCGAACCAGTTCGACGACGCCCACGCCGCCTTCAAGCAGCAGCGAAGCAAGAACGGATGGACCAGCCCCGCTAAGGGTGCCCAGCCCGAGGGACACAACTTGGTCACCGTCTTCGAGACGTGGACCAAGTCCCAGAGCGCCTCCGCGGCCGACAGCTCTGACAGTTCCAGCGACGACGAGTCGAGCTCTCCCGATAGCTCTAGTGATGCTGGCGATGATGTGGAGATGAAGGATGCCGCACCCGCCGACTCCTCTGATAGTTCCGACGGCTCCAGCTCCAGCTCCGATAGCTCCGACAGCGAGAGCGAGGCTACGAGCAAGAAGACGAAGAAGGCCACCAAGGCAGCTGTGGCCAAGAGCGAGTCCTCCGACTCATCATCCTCTGAGAGTGATTCCGACTCTTCTTCCGACTCGTCAAGCGATGAAGATGACGACGACGACGACACGGCTGCGGCCAAGCCTGGCCTGGGAGCCTCGTCCAAGGTCACGCCTGTTGCCAACCCCCTGAAGCGCAAGGCTGCTTCCAAGAGCGATTCTTCCGACTCCGATTCAGACCCTGAATCCGACTCAGACTCTTCGAGCGATTCCGATTCTTCCAGTTCCGAGGACGAGAAACCGCAAGCCAAGAAGCAGAAGGTCAAGGAGGCTGCTAAGAAGTCAAAGGCTAGCTCTGGGTCAGACTCTAGCTCGGGCTCGTCCTCAGACTCTTCCTCGGATTCTTCTTCGGATTCTTCCTCGGACTCTGATAGCGACAGCGATAGCGACTCTGACGATGCATCCGAGCAGCTCAAGAAAGCTGCCAACACTAAACTCCCCGACTCCGAGTTCTCTTCCTCTTCCTCGGACTCTGACTCCAAAGAGGAGCCTCCCAAGCCTGCCACGAACGGGTCCGACTCGTCCGTCACCATGGGCAAGACCTCCCCCGAGGTGTTCCCCCCTCTGCCCCCCAACCCGACCAACAAGAAGAACAACCGCGGCAAGAAGGACGCCGCACCCGCCAAGAAGGTCCCCAACGAGCCCTTCTCGCGCATCCGCAAGGATATCGTTGTCGAGGATAAGTTCAAATCCAATGCCTTCACCGACAATTCGCACGACTGGGGCCGCAAGGCGCACGACGATTTGATCGTCACCCGCGGCAAGGGCTTCACGAAGGAGAAGAACAAGAAGAAGAGGGGCAGCTACCGTGGCGGATTCATCGACGTCAACGCCTACCAGGGAATAAAGTTCGACGACTAGGCGCGCCTCGAGCATAATTCAGAAGAATGGGATGAACTGGTGCGGGTACTGGCGTCCCTGCTCAGCTGTCATGCCAGTATCGTCTAGGCCGCCAAGTCCATGTGGGTTCTCCATCGGATCTCTATGGCTAGAAATCGAGGACAGGCACGCGGAGGTCGAAGCAGCCAGGCAGGAAGTCGGTGACTCTTCCACATCTTTAAGGAGAAAGATTGAGTTGTGGAAGAAGAAGATCAAGGACAATTGGGACGAGTAATTGGAAGGATTTCTAGGGATCATATTGTCAAGGCGCCGACAGAGATTATACTTGGCGAATATCGAGTGATCCCCCTTCTGGTTGGAGAAAGCCCTTGTGAAGAACCAGCCGCGAGCAGGAAATCAACTCGACCGAGGGCTGGCCGTCTTAGACTTCCTATCACAGAGTGCCAAACTCAGGTGTCTCTGTGCTGCCTGCTGGTAGCGTGGCCCTCGCCGTTATCCGCAGTTATTCATGGAGAAAAAGTCTTGGACGGCGACTGGCCTTGCGTTCATGTCGCGAAGACAACTTGAAGCGTTCCGCATGGCGTTTGATGCTTGAGGGGGTTAGACACGTTTGGCTTTGGACGATCTGTGGGATATTCTTAAGCGGCCTCAAGGCTAGTCTTGGTAGATCAAAAAGCTCTCGCTTCAGCGCGTGAGCAGATAGACGGGTCGAGGATAGAGAAAATAATACCAGTGGGGAGCATTTACACCATGTCTTCATGTTGTTGCGGACCGTCGCCCTGAACAGGCGACCTTTGCAAGATCAACTTCGGGACTCCTCTTACATGTCGAAAGATTAAGCCAGGGTGCCAAAGACGACGATGGATTGCTATCGAGGACGATCCTCGCCCATCATCCAAGGACGAGACCATTCTAGGCAGTGTGGAGTGAAAACTCTCATAAGCCCAGCGAGTTTGACGACGAGAAGCAGTTCTCGAGACAGCCTCAAGTCCAGACAAAGGCCAAAAATCGTGTGCAGTACAGCACAGCAGGTTAAAAAACCTGGGACTCTTCGGCGAGAGCACTTCAGATGGTGAGCCTCCAGATGGGTAGCTCCTCGCTTCTAGTGACTCATCAGAGACAAATTCATTCGGCCAGATGTTCTCCAGGCATCGAACGCTGGCCGTTGAACCACTTGCCTCTACTGTCCTCGGCAAAGGGAAGTGAGGGTCCACGACGTGAATGTCATGTTGCAAAAGGCACCAAAGGATCAAGCTCGTGGAATTCAAAAGGCGGTATATTCAACTCACGCCGAGTTTGACGCAGGTGTTAACGAGAATCTGATCCTAGTTCCAAGTGATGATTCTTCCTCATTGACTTAGAAACTGTTGTACATGTGCTTAGAATGCCGCCTCTGTTTCCCAATGGGCGACAGAGACCTTACAGTCTGTCTCTCAAAGTCTGGACCTTGGTACGGGTGATATGTCTGTCCGCCTTAGGCCCGGGAGTCACCTGCCCCAGCCGCATAATCTTCCAATCCATGTCGTCAAAGTGCTGCCCTTGGCACCACTCTCTCCAGGCGGTCCCTCGTGTTGCGCAACCTTTGCTGCAGCCACTGAGTCAATCGAGCCATCTCTGTCTCCGCCCCTTTTCTCCACTGCCACCGAGTTGAAGACGACGGAGAAGTCGCCCTCCTGGTCACCGAAGAAACTGGGACAACATCGCCTGTCAGTCTTGTCTTCTGAAATGAGGTGTGGGAAAGATCAGGGGACGAAGGTGAACGATTCACCGCAGGAAGTGCACTTACCTTCTCATCATAAAACTGATTCGCTTGACGTTTTTCAGATCCAGCGGCTCAGCGTCAGATTTCGGCTTGCCACGGTACGTAGGCTGAAACTCGCCGAACGGAATCACCACCCGGGTTGAGCCAGCCGTGCTGCCAGCGCCAGCAGCAACACCGTCCCTGTCAGGCTTGACGACAAAGTCGTACTCCCAGCTGACGGTGCTCTGGTCCCGCCCGTCCGGCCGCCGGGGCAGCACCTCGTCCTTGAGGGTGAGTGTGTACTTGCGGGCGTCGGCGCGCGCGACGTCCAGCACCAATGCGTCGTAGCCCGAGACGTCCCAGCCCGGCACGCCGTCGGCGGTGCGCTGCGAGGCGAACCCGGCGCCGCCCAGGGCCGTGATGTCCAGGTGGCCCGAAAACTCGGCCTGGGACCCTGACGCTGGTGCTGGTGGGGCCGGGACCACGGTCAGGTAGGACTGGGACTTGCCGCCCCGGACGCGGTCGTCTGAGGCAGTGAATTGGGACGCATCCCAGGGCCTGTGCTGGGGTTGTTAGTTGCTCGTCATAATCTCTCTCGTGTGGATACGACCTCGTCGTTCGGATATGCCCCTCTCTCGTCTGATCCCTCAACCGGCCCTGTCATCACGAAATCCAGCGCCTTGACGAGGCTCATGAGAGTACCTAGACGAGCCACCTATGCCCACCCCGGGGCGCAAACGCATCCAAAGTGCCATGCATATGGTGACCATGCCTCTTTCGATACGGGGAGCAGGAGGTAGGGCGGCACAGCCAAGGGTCCCAGGCAGGGGTGGACGCACGATGGGCCACTCGCACCCTGGACCCGAAATAGGAAACATAACGCGATATACGTCGACGAATGAGGTGGAGGCTGAGGCTCAAGATAGAGATCGAGGGGGAGGAGCCCTTACTTGTTACCTCCGAAGAGATACATCTGATGGCGCAAAGTGGTTGAAGAGTGGCTGTCCCCTCCTCCTGCGGCTTTTCGGACGTCCTTGTTGCGCACAGTAGATTCCTCGGAGCCAGATCAGGGGCCTGCGCCCGCTTGAGGTGGGAAAGGGATGTGGTGTTTCCAAATGTGTGTTAATTCTGCTGCCTGATTTCGAGGCCCGGTTTTCCAGCCAAGGCCCTTTTTCCAAACTACTGTACCTAGCTGAGGCGATGATACGGAGCGCGTATCTGAGGTCCGGCTGGGCGGGGCGAGGGACTTGGTGATGGAATAATACCTGGGAGGCGAGAGGTGGGAATTCAATTTCCCTAGGCGATGATGCAGCTCGGCCCTTTTATTGGTCTGTGGAACGTGAGGCTAAGGTTCAGGTGGCACAAGAATGAACTGCTCATGATGATGAAGACGCTGCCACCTGTGAGGGCACCTATTCGCCAATCATGCGCCGGCCTGCGTCTAAAAGGTGGGTCGATGGTAGCCTGATCTGATTGGTCACCTTGGCGTCTGGCGCGCTCCGCACCGTTTCGCCGTTTCGCACTCGTCTCTTCCTTCGTCCCTGTTGCATCACATCAGGTACGGATCGGATCCACTGCCCTGGAAGGAACCGCAGCTACGAGCTCTGAGGTTTCTTCCTTGCCACCTGCCCACAACGCTCAAGCCTCAGGCTGGCTGGCAGGCAGGCAGACAGACAGGCAGGCATGAGGGCTGGTCTTCATCAATCACTGATAATCAAACGACCGACCCCTGCCAAGGTCCAGAACCGCCGTTTCCCCCCGTCGGGAAATACGATGGGCAATCACCAGGGCCCAGCGGTGAGAGAGATAGAGAGACAGAGACAGAGACAGAGAGAGGTAAGGGATGCGCGCGGCACTTTGGCCATCGAGGAGGATTCAGACCCTTTCACTGGCAGCACGTTTTACGACCCAACAATGTGGTTTGATCGAGACTGTGCACCTGCACGCCATCTATCATCCCTAGTAGTACCGCGTATTACACCCCTGGGATCTTTGTCTTACTGCCTCATCTGGTCGACCCAGAGCCCTGGTGTCTTGCCAAGTAGCGCCTAGACGAGAGGGGAATCGCTCCTCGTCTTCGGCTTCTCCAGCTCCACCTGATCTCGAGGCTTCTTCATCCATCGGGTCCTTGACGCCAACGTCGCAACGCCGACGCCAACGCCAACGTGAACGTGAAAGGCATTGGCCGACTGGCAAGAGCACCAGACAAACAAAGACAGCACAACATGATACCACACGATACCACATAGCACAGCAGGACTCAATATAACACAACGCAAGACCCAATAGTGAGGCTGGGACATGCAGAAGGATGCGGCTGAAGTCCCAAAGGTGCCATCCAGCGCTTCCCTGCAGACTGCAGACCAACATCTCAAGCCCCATTGCCATCCGTCTGGCGTCTGGCGATCGGGACGAACATGAACATGCATCATCCCCCAATATGATATACCGGTATACCAGCTATACCACCACTCTCGAATGCTACCCAGCCGTGTGGCGCCGTCGATGGTGGTCGGGATCGATTGGCATGGGCTCATGCTCCAGACCTGTGGGTTGGGTGGCCCTGGACATGCCTGGGGGGTCCCTGGCACGCCCTGGGTCCTGGGTCCTGGGTCCTGGGTCCTCAGAGTGTGGGACCATATGCAGGCTGGGGTCTTTTGCCCAGTGTCCCGGTCCAAGTGGAGAGATGCCTCAGTCCCAGGAGACCCCTTGGACATTTTTGCATCCTTCTGTGGAGAATCCTGATCTCTCCTCCTTTCAATCTATCTACCTCTCTGCTCTGGCCTGCCGCTGCTGATGTTACAGCACCCTATTGCCTGCCATGTACAGCATGGACAAGACAAGCATGTAGGAAGACAGGCGATGGAAACATCAATCTGAACACTACCCATGCTCTTGGTCACGTCCACATGTCCATGATCATGGCCCTGTCCTTGACCCATGCCCCCATCCGCGATCCATCACAGGTCATGTGGCTGGCTGGGTCCGCACATATTCCCGACTGTGTCGCACAAGAGCCACCTTGATGGGACTGCAGGGCCCCGAACGATGAGCTGCTGCGCTACCGGCGGCGGCGAGACTTGCTTGATCGTTGCCTCTCTCATTCACTCATTCGGGACCAGAACTGGCCAGGGGCTTGATGCAAGGTGCTTATCACATCAAACAGAACGACATATCTGGCCTCCGGGCAGGCAATTTTCCCTCCATCTCGTTGCGGTTCATGCCGTGCCCACACGCAGCGACACGCCCACACACAACCAACCACACACACACACACACACACACACAGCAACACTACCAGACAATCAGAATGGCCTGGCCTGGCCTCGTGCCGATCACAAGTAGTGGTCTGCCATGCCATTCCCCCCTCGTCTCGCCCCGTCTTGCCCGGCTCACATATCATAATAACACCCACGTACCTTAACTCCTGATATCCCCTCCCAGGCGATTAAGCACATGGCACGCCTCGCGAACTCCTGCCAAACCTCAAATCACGGGACCCGCACAGGTGCGCCGGGGCCGGGCCCTACCCTGGTTCTCGCGAGAGCCCTTGTCTCCCACCCCCCCCCTACCTTCCCATTCCTAGTGGGGACATGGCTCTCTCCTCTTTGCCACAACTAGCAAATGCACGAGGGAGAAGAGAAACGCTCGAGAATCTATGTACTCGGACTTTTGCAGAGGTAGGATTGCCCTGGATCCGAGGGGCGGCGAAGGATTGCGAGGCTCCGCAGATCAATTGTGCGCAGTGGCCTCGGGATCGGGTGCGCGGATGCGCGGGCTGGTTCACTGTGTAGGACCCCACCCAGCATGTGAAAGGACGAAGGAAAAGATACTTGCCGGGCCACCTGCGTCGTCACAAGGCAGACGAAACCTCGCAACGAGGAGGTCTACGTGGGGCTCGTTCGCGCCCTTCCTGTCCTACGTGCGCAGAGCCTCATCAAAGGAGAAGTCCTTCGGATTTCCCTTACCTCTCCGGTCGCCTAACAGTCCCCTTTGCCCCAGTCGCGGGAAACGCGGTCCAGAGGGTGGGCTTAATTCACGGCCTCAACCAAGAACGGGCAATGTGACAAGACAGCTAGCACGATTGAGGTGAGCTGATCGCCCGTGACTTTCAGACCTCCAAGGAAGAAAGCCCTGCGCACATCTGCTGCACGGTGATGCTACTGCTGCAGGGCATCAATTGTTTACTAAACATGAAGTAGGGAGGACTTTGGGGGCGGACCCAGAAGCCGATAGGCCGATGGGCGAGGCTCCTTCGGCCTTTTCGCTCTGTTGCGGTTCGAGTGTAAGTGGGGACTCCAGGTGCACTCAGCGCAATGGCGCAGGGGCTCTGAGGGCACCGAGAATCACTGGATTGCCCGCCCTCATTTCTCACCCTGGTCACCACACTCTTCAGGCTGCGATCGCAGAGGATCTCAATGTCGTATGTTCCTTTCACGGGGTATTGTGCGTCAGGTGCTAAAGCGGTGAGTAAATGAGGCTCCCAGACGCAGGGAGACGCGTGTGAAAAGAGGAAAATGCATATGACCCCATTTGCACCAGGCTATGAGGTAGGCAATGGGAACCACCACATCTGTAAAAAGAACTGTGGGCAATCCCACAAACTTATAGGCGACATTACACAGCCTCTATCCCCAACCTCCTCCTCACCGTCTCAAGAATAAATGCAGGTAAGACTGTTTGACAGCTGCCATGCCGTGGCATAACGTGGCAGAGTGGCATATGGCGGATTATGTGAGACGGCAAAAAAGGGAAGTTGAACAGCAACGAAAAGCGGGAAAAGAAAAGAAAAGAGTCCACTCAGGAGAAACAAACCCATTGTGTCGGGTCCCCGGGTCATCATCTTACTTGGGGCCGGGAAGGGGGAAGTGGGAGGGGGGAGGGGGGCGAGAGCGAGTCTTGTTGCTGACGGCGGACCCGGGGGCTCGTCACCTCTCAGCCCTACGGGGTTGCAGAGGAGAGAGCAGCTGTAAGAAAGGAGACGAGATGTGTGTTTGTGTGTGTGCCTGTGTGTGTGTGTGTGTGTGTCCCCAACCCAAGTCCGCGCCAAAATCTCACCACTTTCCCTTTTTTTCCCTTCTTTTTCCCCATCCACACACCCGTCAGCACCATCACCGAAAGAAGGTTTGCGGGAGTTGTGGAAATAATGGGTCCCAAACCCCGAAAAGTCAAATATGCCCTGTGGTAATCACCGGGACGACATTACTGGTCAAGATCGCCATTATAGCTTGAGAGGCAGAGAATGAGAATGAATGCCCTTTCCCGCATCGTCATGGTCAACTTCACACCAAGTGCTTCACCAAGTGCGATGAACAATAGCTTTCAGAGGTGAATTTGTAGATTGATCGGAATACTCAGAAAATCCACCCTGTACACTAGAGATGTCTCGGAAGTGTTCTCCTGGGAGATCTTGGACAGAAATCACAACCAGAAACTCCGGCCCCAGTCCACAAGCCAGCGTGACCCTGACGCCTCCCCCAAAATAACCACGCTATCCTTTTAATCCAAAAAGTCGCTTGTGTGTTTTATATCCAGCTGCTAAAAACCCCACCACCAAGGCATTCTTGGCCATTTCATGTTGTGAACTGACGAGAGCACCCCTGCCAGCCCTGAACTCCGCAGCGGCGGAACAGCCCCGCTGCCTCCAAACAGTGCACCGAAGAAAGGGAAAAGTAGATGGCCGTCCAATCATAACAGTGAAAAAAGTGTGAAAAATATAGACAAAAAATTCGTAAAACCCGTGTATCCATTTCCTCATATGCCATTGCAATTGCTTGCGTCTGTCTTTATTCTTTTCATGGCGAGCCCATCGACAGGGGCGTCACCGGGTAGGCACACCATTCCGCCTCCGAATTGTTGTCTGAGTGGTCAAAGGTATGCGACAGAGCTGGGGTCTGTGGGAGAGACTGTCGTATTAGCCTTTTTGCTCTTCGGCTGTTGAATATGCGTTTTTCTTTCTTTCTCTCTCTCTCT